CCTCTAGATTGCCATACTTTGCTAAGCCCTTGAAATGTTGGGCATGGATGGAGCAAGAAGAATCCCTCCGTGCTGGTACTGTACTAGTCCAGCATGGTACGGGTTGTCGAAGGCTGCTAGGATCTTGTCTCCATTCAACGAGGAGAAGAATAAAGGGGAGGCATATGAGATTCGTTCACTGGGCTTGCTCCGTATTGTTATTGCTCTATCTATGTACCTGCTTTTAGAGCCAAGCTTGGTCGAACTTGCAGCACTGCCTACTAGTTTGAATCTGCATTGAGACCAACCTTTCGGTCACGGGTCACAATATCATATCGTGAGACGCATAAAGAGGCAACCTGCTCTCTCATATTGACAAGGTCATCTCCTGAGGATTTCTGTGCAAAAGAAGTAATAAGAGCGCTTTAAAATTGCAAAAGGACAGCTGTAGTCTGAAGCTCACGTACCCACCGATGATCCTTTACTTGTACGGCATGGAGAGCCATGTGTATCGCCGATGCTAAATTTGGCTATACGCAAGGGGGGAGGATGATGCCACCACCAAGCACGACGCAGAACCAAATCTGCGAAGAACAGGCGGTATGGTCGCACTTGATGCACTGCGTTTTCAAATGCCATTCTGAAACGGCTCAGGGCCGGATGATCGCACGTCGTCGACCAAGAGGCCACTCGCCACTTGTGGCTTTGCTCACAAGCTTGTGGTTTCGGTGTGGTTGTTACGGGTAGTATTAGGACTGCCCAAGCGAACTGGCGAATCAGCTGCGCATGTCCCTCCTCTTCACCGTTGGGTCAAGCCAGCTCCAGAAGAGAAAATGGCGCACGACAAACGGCCAACAGACAAAGCAGATGGACCAGAGGGATGCGGAAGTGGATTCGTCGACTGCTTTTCGCACCTCTGGCTCGGGGCCCCTTCTCGGCTGATGTGGGCGCACACCGTGTCGCTGGTGGGAAACATGCGCGATGCCATGCATTAGCCCGCACGCGAGGGGGGCGATCGTCTCTCTGCTGCTGCGGACAGCAATCGGCAAAAGACACCTGTGATCTGGGTTTTCCTTTTTGTTCCCTCTGTCTTATGGTCGGGTCCCTTCTGGTGGGCCAGAGGACAGGTGTTGTGTGTCGTGCCCAATGCCCGAAGAGAGCCTGACACTCCATCCCGGGGCTCCGTGGCTTACCTCGTGCTGATCGGCAGGGAGAAGTTCTATCCTTTCGGTCGTGGCGAGTGAGTTGCGCGTCTGAAATCGCTTGAACGTGGCTGGTGTGCGGAGTACCTCGCACGGGCGTGTCGATAGTGCAGTAATACCTAGTACTACTGCAAGCGAATGAGAGAACTCACCTCCAGTTCATGGTGCATTGGTGTGGCTCACCGGATATTCAGCCCGAAGTAAGACAGTTCGACCGGGGTTGGTCGAATGGGGGTTGGAATTTAGCGATAACCCGACAAGGCAAGCAGCGCTGTAGCCAAGCGTCCAAGACCGAAGCAGTAGCAGTGCCGCATCTTTCATTTCATTTCACTCATGCTTCCTTGTCCTGGGCTGCGGTCTTCTTGACCTTTGCATCGTACACCGAACTGGAATTGCTGCAATTGGCCTCAATGCAATGCAGCAAGGGTGCCGTAATGGGCAGAGAGACAAATGCGACTAACCTCCTTGTTATATGACTGCATGGCACTGTAGTATTAGACGTTTGGGGCAGGCTAGTCCAGCTGCACGCCAAAGGAGATGCCGGTCCATCCTGGCGGTAAGCTTCGCGAGACCTCCTTACACAGTCGACGATTCGCTCAGCTGTGCTGCTGCCACGGCCTTGGACAAAAAGCAAGCAGTCAGTAAAGGGTGGAAGAATCGCTTCGTGCATTCCGCAAACGGGAATTTCGTTCGTTTTCTTTCGCAACGGTGTATAAGAAGTTGTACTTGCACACAGCTTCCTAGAAAACTTAACTTGCCTGGGGAACAGAAGTCAAGGGGGTGCCAGACATGATAACAAATGGCGATCATATCCAGCTAGTAATATCTAGGATGATTGAGCACGTCAAGATGCTGGTACAGAGAAGATGGTAGGGCGATCTCGATTCCTGTAAATCAGCTGAGCGACGTGAAAAGCTCTAGACCTGGATCATGTTAGACAACAGCGAGGCTCCGAGTTAAGGATACAAAACAACAGAGCTTAGCAATTTTATTGCAGACTACAGTGATAATTGAAGTGAGAATCTCGCAATATGTCCGTAAGAATGCAACGCACTGAAGAACTGAGACGTTCTCTTACCAATGCCACAGACTCCTGATGCTGTAGGGGTCGCACGTATGCCTAGCATGTTGTTTTCTAAGCTGAGACTGTGGAAGACTTCCTGGGCACGAGGTAAAAGTTACATGTGATCGTGCTGATTGTGGCTGATGCACCGTCTCATCTGATGAATCCTCCCGAGACTGGATGTCCCGGAATGCCGATCTCTGGCAGATCCACGACGGAGACTAACGCCGGCGATACCGTCCGGCTGGTATACCGTCAGCTTGGCATCGAAATGTTTTGGCAAACCGCGTTGCTCGACTCCAGGAACATGCCCAAAGGGGTATCTACCAATACCAGAGGACGTATTCAACGGTGAAGCCTGCACCACGTTCAGGTACCAGTTCTCCCGCATAATATCATCTTCTTGAATCACCTGTGTTACGTTCGATGGTCGATTGGTTCTGGAGGCCTACGAGGAAGCTCGAATTGAAGATGGGCGGCCTCCCGGACCCCAATTCCAGGCCATGGGACGTTGATGGCCAAAGTTGATGGCTGTCAAGGAAATTCCCATCTTTCCGTCCAGCGAAACTCGGGCTCGAACTTTCTTCTCGGGGTCAATGTCGATCCTTTCGACTTCCGCGTTAGTTTGCCACCACCGAGCCCCAGCCAGTGGCTCAAGCCGTCTGGCGACATTTGCTGTGGCCACGCCCTGCAGTCTCTTGTCCTTTTATCCCGCAAACCAATAGAAACGGGTAGCCTTGACAGTTTTGGGAAAAGGCCTGGTGTTGTCACACTAGTTGTGTGTGGCTGGTGGGCTCTGAGTCGAGGGATGAAGCTGAGGAGAGCATTGTCAATTCGCCCCTTGGATTCAAGCGCGGACACGTGTTTGGGAGTAAGGTAGGTCTCCAAGGCTTCATTGAATGGCGAATGTGATGCAACTGTCGAATCATGTCCATATCAAGCACTCCAGAGGAGGCACATTCGCGATAAAGGAAGCAGCCACAGCTGGGCGGTTCTTGCAGTATTTCAGTAGCCATGTTTCGAGTACGGTGTATCGACATAACAGGACGTGGGAGCCAGGAGTCGCAGCATGGCCATTGAGCATGCAGTTGTCTTTCGCTTCGGCATTCGAATCGCATATGCAAATTTCAAAGTCAGCTACACTTGCCAGCCTCAGGAGATACTCGAAATGCGAAACTCAGCGTGCGTGGATTATGCAAACACATCGTAGTCAATCAATAGGAAGAGCGCTGCTTTGAGGATAGCGAATCGTGGCCTGGATATGTTCCGCAGAGCAAAACTTGTTTGTTTGATTGAAATATCAAAGAGCCGTTGCCATTTGGTATGTTGAAAAGGAAGAGACTGATTGAGGTTTTCAAAGTGGAAAGAGGGAGAAAAACAATGGAGTGGCTACACGTGACTGTAGAGACTCATGCAGAAAGAACGTTCGTTCATGACGTTATTCGCCAGGTGCCTTCCTTATGGGTTAGCTGCTACCTAGTACTTGTCCTTGGAAGGAGCTCCTGTCAATGCAAAATCAACTCGGCAGTCAGGCACTACCCAACAGATGACGCCTTATTCAATCTTTGTCATTCAAGGTATGTAAATACTACCTGGTATGTAGGCAGTTATCAATCTACTCGAATCCCTCAAAAGATGCACGAGACTCATAAATATAAGATAGTTGGAAGAAACTTGATTGAGTGAACCGGAATCTGGGCTGCTCAGAGTTGATTTCCGACTTCTGGTAGACCGGGTTGATGCTCTCGAGTGGGAGGAATACCAAGTTTGATTTAGTATACTTGCTTTGTGTTTCTCTACGTTGAATCCACTGTCCAACAAAATCTAATCCTTGCTACAGCTTGTCGAACAATCATGTGCTGCTTTCAACAAATAGCTGGGAAGCACAACAAAAGAGTATTCGCCCCCCCTAAACGGTTCCCTTTGTCAAGGTCGCCAAAGTACGCTTATTTTCCCCGAATGCCGTTAGATTTTTTGACCTAAATCTTAATATTGATTTTCTAGTATAGAACGATATCATATCAAGTCATCTTTAACACGCCACAGGCACCTGCCTCTCTGGAACAGCTTGGTCCATCTACATCTCTTTCCCTCATTCTCATCAACCACAGAAGCGTCTCGTCCTGATAAACTCGTTCATTGATGAGCTCACCAATTAGCTTCTCGTGATAACATTCTGGCTTCATCTCATTGCCCATAGGCAATTGAGCATAAAATTCTCGCCACAGCAGCCACACCTTTCATATTTCCATTGCGTTCAGGCAACTTACATACCTCAAGGATTCTTGACCCCGGCTATTTCCTCTTCCATATCATGCCTCCTCTGAAAAAACAACATACATCTTGGTCAAAATTTGATGACTGTGGAGGAATACTGAAAGAAGAATGGCAGATTGGGAATCTAATCGAGTTTCGACTTCAGCCTCGATGCGCCTCCAGCGGCTAGTGCCCAATGACAATCAAGATGTGCAAGCCCCCTCGACTTCATCTGGGAGGAATGGGGAGGATTTGAAAATCCCATTTTTCAAATTGTCTATTGCATCATGGAATGTGGTTGTGTCTCATTGGGATATAAATTCTATCAGTGATTTTTCGGGAAGTTCATTGGCCTCTCGAGCTTGACCGTTGAATCGGGATAGGCAGCATCACCACAACAGGCTTCAGGCACTTCCTCAGTCCTGACGTCTGCTGTCTTTCACTGAACCTCCAGAACAACATCAGCTCATCATCTAGAGAGGGGAAAGGAGTAAGGAGCTATGCTCAATCTCCCACAAACGACTCCAGAATGCCTCTTCGTCGGCGAAGGCAGATCAGATCTCGTCGGCATCGGTGTAAGTCAAACCAATCCCCTCCTCAATCACAAACACGAACACCATAGCATCATCAACCTTAGTAACCTATGTCCAGATCATCGTCGGCTTCGTCGGTCAGGCCACGATATCCCTCTGCCTCGCCCTCTGGGCCTTCTTCTTCTCCACAAGCGGCTTCCTCGACGGCCACCACCACCCGGACAGCGTCGAGTTCGAGATTGAGCAGAAGCGCCTCGAGTGTGTGTCCGACATCCTCATGGTCGGCAACGACATCCAGATGGTCATTGGCACCTCGTACATGATCTCGGTGTTTTCCTCCGCGGGCACCATCTCCACGTACCACTTGCATCTGGCGTTTGACATTGTCAGCTTCGTTGGGTTAGTAGACTCTCCCCCCTTGACTCTCTCTCTCTCAGCATCCTCATCATCCTCATTATCCCCATCTCATCATCACCCATCGCTAACAAACTCCCCTCAAAGCGTCTCCAGCGCCGCCGCCCTCGTCTGCTGGACCTACTGCACCCTCCGCCTCCACCAAACCTCCTCCTCCTCCCCCGACTACGCATCCCACCTCCTCTCCCGCCACATCCCCTGCCTCCGCTCCGTCCACTTCACTCCCCGCCACCGCGGCACCTACCTCTTCGCAGCCCTCTACCTCGTCCTCACCATCCTCCTCGGCCTCAGCCTCGACGCCTGGAACCCCGACGCCCAACCCGGCCGCTGCTACCTCGCCCACCTCGTCACCCACCCGCAGGCCAGCCACCCGGCCGCCGACAAGGTCTACGTCGCCTTCACCGCGGCCTGGATGCTCCTCGTCATGCTCGCCGCGGCCCTGTCGAGCGCGCGGTGGCGCCATTCCATCCTCGCGCTCGCCTTCTTGCAGTTCCCCGTGCATCTGTACATGGCGCTGGCCCTGAGGGCTGCGAACCAGGGGCATCTCGAGGGCGACGATGCGCGTGAGAATAGGTGGGATTTCGGCCAGACGACTGCTGTTGTGCTGCTTGCCATGGCGGCGAGGGAGCTCTTTGACAAGGGCACCGAGTTTTACTTCTTCGAGCGTGAGTTGCGGAAGAGGGGGGCCTTGCTGCCCAGTAACAGCAATAACAGCAATGGCAGCAGTAGCAAGAGGATGAAGAAGAGCAGAGATGGACGGAATAATGGGGACTATTGCCATAGCCGGGAGCTTAGGGGGGTATCCGGCGTGGGGGCGTAGAGAATGTAATTTTATCTCACCTCGTCGTCATACGGTCCGTTGAGGCTCCTTGGCCAAGATAGCCTTCGTATGAACCCTCATACTACCACATTATACATCACTCACAGGCCTCAAGTCTCAAGTTCCAAAGGTAGTTTCGCATTATGCATCAAGGTAGCGTCAACAAACAGCTGCTCTCCCTCCCCCTTCCCAGCAGACAACTTTGTGAGCCCACCCGCAGTCTAATCTCCAGAGCAGCATCGAATCCCGAGGACCACCCACGGCCGGGCGTGGACTCGATGCTCGCAACTCACCTACCGACATAAACGTTTCTACCTCGGCATCCCCCGCGGTCCGAGAGTCGGATGGATACAAGCTCATCGCTTTTCTTGTCCAAGAAACGATGTGCTGCAAGTGGTGTACAAAACCAAATCGCTACCACCCATCTCCCCTCCTTTCACGTTTTTACCTGACCAGCCCAGTAATAGCCTTCGTCCAAAGTGGTTCGTACCTTGAAAGCCACTACTAAAGAATGCCGGCCTATGGGACGCCTGTTTCCACAGAGTGGAATAACGAAAAAAAGACCAAACAAACAAGCAATTATCACTTCATCCCTTCTTCAATTCGTCAACACCCCCCGTATGCTCTCATCAAATGCGCCCAGTTACGGGTCACAGGGAGGAGCTTTTTACGACTCGCCACCAAGAGACTCCAGCTCCTTAAGCACAGATGCCTTGGTGTGAATCTTCTTCAGCTGAGTGTCCTCCAACTTTTCACCTCCAGCAAGGCGCATCTCCAGATCCTCAATAGCCCTGACCTTCTTCTGCAGACTGCGAATCTTCTTAGCGTTTGGGTTCTGCGACGCTGGCTCAGTTGGGGCATTAGGAGGAGGACCGGACTGCTGCTGCTGCTGCTGTTGATGCTGTCCGTTCTGGCCTCCGTTCTGGCCACGGACGCCTTGCTGAGTGTTGCTTCGGCTGCGGTCCATGTTGTTACGGGACCGGCTCCGGAAGTTGCGGCCGTTCTGGTTGCCGCCGGCCACTCCGCGCCTCTCGGGGCTGCGACCCTCGTGGCCCGAGCCGCCGCCGTATTCCTGCGGCGGCGGCGCAAGGCTGGCCCCTCCGTTAGGCTCAGGCTCCAGCTTGCCATCGGGGTGGTTGCTCTTCTTGCTGCGCTTCTTCTTGTTCTTCTTGGCACCGCCGTCTTCGTTGGCGGGCTCCGCGCCAGGCACAGTCCGGACGGTCGGGATGTTCTCGGCCAGCTCAGCGCCGGGGACGGCGCGTCGGGACCTGCCAAAGCCGTTGGCACTCACGTTCTGGGTGCCGTTGCTGACGACGTGAGCGGCGCCGCCCTCATCCTCGCGCTTGAAGTGAAGCGGCGTGGCCAATCCACGAGCGCCAGGGGGCCGGTAGGCTCCGGCAGGTTTGCTGGGCGCCTTGACGGTGCTGAGGAAGGCCGCGGCGGATTCGTGCGGTGTCGGAACAGGGCTGAGCGGATCTCCGGCCTCGAGGGTAGCTGCGTCCGCGGGTCGCCAGAGAACGTTGTACAGCTCGACCATATCTTCGTTGTACATGAGTCCGCCGGTGACGTGCCACAGCTTGACGCCGTTGTCGACGCGCAGTCGTGGGGAGGTCGTGGCCGTCATGATGTAACGGCTGTCGGGGCTCCATTCGCACACGCTCGGGTTGCCGCTCTCGATGGTGCAAACCTTTCGGTTGTCCTTTTCGAGGTCGTACACGTCGATCTGGCCGGCAAGGTTGCCGAAGCCGGCAACGAGGACGAAGCGGCCGGTGGGCGAGAAGGAGATGGTGTTGCGCGGTCCGAGGGGGAACGAGTGCACCGCAACACCGCGGTCGTTGAAAATGGTCGTCTTCGCTGGCATATAACCATAGACGACACCAAACTGTCGGGACGAAGGCGACCACGAGACGTCGTGGATCGGGCCCTCCTTGTCCAGAGTCACGCGAGCATCCAGAGTGCCGTTTGTGCTCAGCAGATATAGAGTCGTCTCTCCGTAGTAGCTCTTGCCGGAGCGGTCCACGTCGGTCTGGGCCAGAACCAGGAGGCTGGATCCCCGCTTGTTCCACTTGAGCTGGACCTTGTCGCCCTTGAAAAAGGTCTTTTGCGAGATTGGGTTCTGAAACTCGGGCACCTTGTAGACTTTGACGGCGGCGGGTGCTCCCTAAAATGGTCCATCGTTAGCAAGCAAGAGCGAGAAGCAGAAAGAGCAGAAAGTGATGCTTACCTTGCGCTCTGGGATAAAGACAGCCACTGCGTGGTCCTGGCCTGGAGCCAGGGCAAAGTTGGTGGCTCCCTCAACGCGCAGCTTGTTCCACACGGTGACGAGGTCGTGGCTCTGGAAGAATTGCACCTCGTTGGTGACGAGGCGGGCGCAGTAGGCCTCGTCGGCGGTGTACTGCAGATTCCAGCCGCCCTGCTGCTTCTGGACGAACTGGCCGACAGGCACCTTGGCGGCAGCGTCGACGCCGTCCTCAACGGTGCGCCACACCTTGAGGTTCTTGGTAGCGTCGCCGGCCTCGTCCTTGGCCGGCCGCTCCCAGGTGATGACAAAGGTGCCCAGGGGCGAGAAGCCGAGCTCGTAGACGTTGGCAATGGGCAGGCTCAGGATGAGCTGGCCGCTGGAGGTGTCGACGACATTGAGGGCCTCGGGGGTTGCCCAGCCAAAGAAGCGGCCACACGGCGAGTACGCACAGCACCGCAGGTTTCCCTCGGGCTTGGTGAACCCAGAAAGGGGCTCGTAGACCGGAGCGGCGTTAAAGACGCCAATGGTCTTCTGGGTCCGGTAGGCGAACTGCAAAGGGGATGCCATGGCTAGTCAAAGTCACAGAAATCCCGGTGGAGAAAAGAGAGGATGGGGTGGATGGCCTTTGCAGTAGGTCTGGGTGATGCCGGTCGTTGCAAAAATCAACGTCCTTGTCTTGGCTTCCTTGTTGTTTCTGACCGATCAATTGAACCGTTCTTCTTCTTCCTTCTGCGGGCGATTGCGCAGACGAACCAAAAAAGGGCTTGGTTTTCGTTGATGAATGATGGGAACTCTCCGCACTGCAGAAAAATCCTGATAGGATGATGCAGACAGCTGGTGTCAGAGCACGAAAAACAGCGGGAGCTGATGAAGGATTCAACCTGCGCCCGTCGGTTCGACAATCAAGGCAATCGTGCAGCGGAGCGAGCAGCAGAAAGGCCAAGCGTCGGCTCTATTCTTTTCTATGCTTTCTCTCTTCTGTTTTCCGATGTTGGTCGGCGGGCCAGGGTTTGATGCCCGATGGTCGCTTGTTCGTGATGCGTCACTGCCGCGAGGTCGATCGACGAGCTTTCGGCGGGCACAAGGCGGAACCGGGTCCTCAACGAAGAAGACGGGGGAGAAGAGAAGAGAAGAAGAAAAGGCACTCGACGCGCTGCAGAAAACAGAGTCGGAAGCACAGGAGCGAGACGGGGAGAAGAGAAGAAGATTGCAAGCGCCCAAGGCGAGGGAGAGCAGTTGGCTGGCGACGGCGGTGCCGTGTTGCTTGTGGGCTGGAGAGGAACGAGGAGAGAAAGGAACGAAAAAAAAAAAAGTGTGGGCGTTGCGTGCTATTTTTTTTGCCTTTTCTTTCTTCCAGTTTTTTTTTCTTCCAGTTTTTCGTTACGGCTCCCCACCGCCACGGCAAGGCTAGCAAGCATGTCCAGGCCAAGCAGCGCCCGAGAGCAGTCCGCTAAGCCACTGCAGGCGCTCGCTGGGAGGAGCCTCTCACTGGACGCTAGCGGTTGAGTCTCCAGAGGCTCGGCACTGGCTTGGGGCGGAATGGCGCATTTGGTGCCCGGGCCTGCCCCAGCCAATCGCCGGCTGTCACTGCTGAAGCCTTGGAACCTCTGGGACCCAGCATTTGATGCCCCAGCTTTGACTTGACACGGGCATTGGAGATCCAATGACCTTGGAGAGGGCGCTGCAGTGAATCAGCATCCATGGGCGGGCAAACGTGCGTTCAAGGGGCACCGCTTGATACACTGGTCATGTGTCGTTTTCCTTATCCTTTGCTGTTGCTTGCTGCAGGTACTTCATCATCTGGGGCTTGACGTGACAAGCCACCAGCTTCAACGGGATAACCGATCACACGCCCATCACGGCTGCAGACTTTCATTGGATGCAATTAGATGCGGAAGCCTGTCACAAGAAAGAAAAGGCTGGCTGAGCTGGCATCGTCACACTCTCGAAGCGCGCAATCTGCTAGGATTGCGGCATACGGGCTGTGTTCTATATTACCAACCGTGGTAAATGTGATGTGTGCCATCTACTAGGACCTACATAAGGCATGATAAGATATCTTGGAACCCCAAGTTTGTGTACACGTCACCACCTCAAGATGCCCAACGTAGATTTGCAGATACCAAACCTTCGAGTTTGCTACTACATGGACACTAAACTCACCTGCTCCTAATCAACTGGGTTACACGTCAGCCCAGTCCAGGTGCCTGCTATCTGTTAAGACTTGCATATCTGACGCTCACACCGTTGTCTTGCATGCCAGCCTTACCGATACAGGCACGGCAGATTTGACACATCACCCACCCAGTTGCCCCGATATCTATTATTCGCATAAACCCGGCGAACTAAAGGTAGATGCCAGCTCATATTCAGACGTGCATATTGTACGTAGGCTTTCCCTCTCCACTGCCCACGGTATGTCCGCCTCACCTCACTTGCAGCTTTTCGCGCCACCCGCCCTTTTCAAACAGCCACAGGGCTTCCACAGCATATGCCCTGCTACCCCTGTGCCCGCCTTCGGCCATGCTTGCCTCGTTTAGGCTCTCCAAGACCCGTCCCTCCTTGACAGCGCTCCAGACGCCCATGGCAATTGGGTGTTCTGGGGTGGTTCCCCATTCGCCGCGCCCCAGGCGATACAGGATGCGGCCCAGGGTTTGAAATGCTATGCAACGCTGCGCGGGCACAGCGCTCCTTGCCAACCTGGCGAGCTCTGCGATGGTATAACCGGCAGCTTCGGGAGCTTCTCCGTGGTGGTGCAGCCCCTTGGACGAGGGGATCGACCGGCTCACTCGCGGCGAGAGGAATCGGCCGCGGAAGTCAAACCGCAGCGCCGAGACGCTGATCTCGGGATGAGGATAATATGGTGAATCTTTATCCGCAGGGCTGTCTTGGCTAGGAACGGGCGCCATCCAAGCCAGCTTGCTGGGATCGGCAGGCAGGTTGGGGAAGTATTTTTCGTGTAGCGTGGCGAGAAAGTTGGGATCGGAAGGGTCCAGGTCCGGGAGGCTCGGTGGTACAGGGAAGTGCGTTGACTTGGGGAGGTCGGTAATGGGGAAGAGGTCGGGTGGAATCTGAGCGGGAGCCTGATCCTCATCGTAATTGTCGGGTATTTTCTTGGTTGACCTTGTCTGAGCGGTAGGCTGGGGAGGAGCGGGAGCGGGTTTTGACTCTGTCTTCGACTCTGGCTTGACCACATCCGCAGTCTCGTCCTCGACTGTGGCGGCTTTTGGCGCGTCGTCTACACGAATCTCGGGAGGCGGTAGCGAAGAAGCTGAAGTCGACTGTGGTTCTCGAGATTCGGGGATGTTGAAGGGCGAATTCGGGTCAGGCTCATCAATGGTAGCTCTCTGAAGCAGCCGCTGTATGAGGTCCGGGTTCAGCCCATTCAAGAGGTCCTCTTGCGCCCTGGCTATCTCCTGGGGTGTCATGTCGTCAATCTTTTGCCTGTTCTCCCTGTCTATCCGCTGTCTCTCGGCCTCCTCAAAGGACTGTGGCTGGGCTGGCTCTTGTGCCTGCGCTTGGGTGGACTGCGGCGCACCGCCGGTTCGCTGCTGCTTGAACGCTGAGGATTTCCATCGGCGTTTGTGCTGAGGAAACCCGGTCGCCGGGATGGGGGCTGAGGGAAACTCGACTGGCTTTGCAGCTTTGTCGTCTCGCTCCACAATATCACCGATGAGCAGCGTAGGATCCATGATGCCGAGGATGGGTGAGCGCAGCGATGAGGATCTGTATGTGGTCTTGATGTGGTCAAGGTATCAAAGGAACTGGTTGGAAAGATTTGGGATCATGGAAAAAGATGGTGGGGCATAGAGGTGAGTTAGCGTTAGCTCCATCGTCATATCGATAAGCACCTACTATCCGCAAGCAGGCTAACGAATGGAAGCTCACTAACAAAGGGTTGGGGTGACATCCAATGGCGGCAGGCATCGCAGAGTAGGTAATCTGAAGGTATATTAGTACATGTATATACAGGGTGCTCTGCACAGGGCAGCATTTCTTCTACGCACCTCGATATTACATTTCCAGGAGATTTCACTTGATTTTGAAGGGTAATCCACGAGGCCATTCTGTCAGGTGGCAGCGCCATGTGCGATTCTTCACCTTGTCCCAGACTGTGTGTACTCTACTTGTAGGCAGTGGGAAGCAACTACGGGTGGGTAGAGCAAAAATAGGTACATTTAGCAATTTGTGCAGGGCGAGTATAGAAGTAAAAAAAATACATGGAAATTCGAGAGATTAGGTTCAAATATTCGCAAATACTCCCCAGGGCTTACGGCAGTCTGAGCCTGCGACATTGGCCATACTTGAAACTTGAAGTAGGTACGGAGTACCTGGAACGAACAAGGAACACGAACCCCCACGATTGGCCGAAGCGTCACCCAATTCTAGATCCAATCTAGAGTTTCGGAGCCCAAGCACCGCCACGCCTGCATTAGTGCCACGCGGGTTCCCAGCACCCAGCGCTTTGGACAGGGGGGCCGCAATTGGTAGAACGTGCGAAGAGGCCAAGAAATAGAAAAAAAGCAAAGAGAATGAGCGTCAAGGCGTGCATCTGAGTTGAGACAACAGCGTGGCCATGCGTGCCGATTGATCACATTTTACCTAATCACAAGGTACGTAGGTAGGTAAATACTGTTTCCTCCTTGCGTTAGTGGCTTCACCGGCGGAATCCCAGCAGTGCCTTGGATGTGGTGCTTGTGCTTGTGCTTGTGCTTGTACAAGTACGAAGTGCTGAATCGGCGAAAACAGTCAGCTGGAGCCCTGTCTAATTTGTGGGTGGTCAGGGGAGTACGGGCGTTTATAGGGGCTGTACTGTAGAGCTCAAGTACAGGGAGTAGGATTTGGAAGCTCGTATGATTGATGCAGCCTGTTCAATCAATCACCTTGCCTTTGTTGCAATCAAGGCAACAGACATCAGCACCATGGCCGACTGACTGCCTGTGTAAAACACCAAATCGCCGAGCAGGGATATCCAAAGCGTTTCTCCTCTTGGGTTACCAAGGTCTGGTATCTAAGTACTACTAACTTGATGATGACAAAACCGAAACCTGACCGTTAGAGGCGTGTCAGTCGACTCGATGCCTGAATCATCCGACACTGGTTGGCTGCAGCTGTCTCTAGCGAAGCGAGACCACCCAGTGTCTCTCTGCTAGCTCAGGGGAGGCAGCCAGAAACAAGAGGAAAACAACAGCGTTGAACGGCGTGCAAGACCTGCATGACAAGCACAACGAAAAGTGTCTCAGATGTTATTCCTTGATTCCATTCCTTCGTTGCCGCTGCGTGACGCTTACTGTCTTTATTCATTCTTCAAATTCCTCTCTCACCACGTCCGACGTCATTGCAATCTGCGACGCCCCGACACGGCGCACCCGACGCCACCGTCTGTGGCGGGCCGCGCTTATCTGATGTCATATGCACCAGCCGTGAATTGACGACCGGTAGAAAAAAATAGAAACCTCGAAATCGAAAAAAGAAAAAGAAAAAGAGAAACTCGGCACCAGGCGGGGCTCGGCTTCAGGCCTGGTCCTTTTCCGGAATCTGGTGCATGCAGGCATTGGGACGGGCCAGACGGGGCACGGAAAAAAGCAATCAGGTTCAAGCTGGTTCTTGTGGCCCCGCTTCTTTCCGGGCGTTGCTGCAGCGCGCTTCTCGGCTCGTGACTAAGCTAGGCTAGCACAAGAACCAGGACACACAGAAGGTAAAAAAGAAAAGAAGGCTGCCAGTCGCTAAGAGCGTGCCGCGTTTAATCCGCGCGCTGATTGGCCGCTCCCCTTGCCCGGTGGGTGGGGCGTGTGGTCGCGCATCGTCGAAAGTGCCCTAGCGTCGCCTCTTTTCCCTCTCTGCTCCCTTCCCCCACAGCAGACCAACCCTGGAAGGCCCTGGTAGGGGACTCTGGGGTGCCGCAGGGCAGGGCCAGTACATGGATCCGGCCACGCTACTGTGCCTGTTTCTCAACCTTGCATCCTGAATTCTCCGGCACCGTCCAGGCGTGTGTGTTTGTACGGAATACAATGTATGTGTCCTGTATACCCGTCCGATCGCCGTGAGCGTGATGCAGATGCGGCGCAGTAGCAGTGGTTCAGCGACTGAGTGCGAAAGTGCGGATGTGAGCCGCAGGCGATAAGGTAAGGTACCTACTACCAGGTAAGGACGGAGTTTATCGCAAGTGGCATGTGCGAATGGGGTGCAGGCATGTGCCAAAGTAGCAAAGCTTGGCATCGAATCGTGGCCATGATTCGCACTATCGGGACAAGCAGCGTGGGTGGTGGGTGCAGTGCTACCTTGTACCAAACACAGCTGATCACCACCTGGTCTACTACTTGTATGTATCTTCCATACGCTGATTACCGAAAGCAGCACTGGGAAAGCCACAAGTCTGCTTAGTACGATGGGAATTCGGAGCTGAGGCTGTTGACATGGTCCAGCTGCAAACCTCCATATTCTACTTTACTCCCTTATTAGGTACGTGGGAGGTGCCAGCTCTAGTAGTCCCGTGATCTGACGCTAAACCCTGGAACCTCTGATTCTTCGGGCCCCGGTCATTCTCCCAGTGCAACTACCACTAAGAGTAGACCTCCAATTAACACCACGGAATCCATCTGGAATAGAAAAAGGCCCCGCGCCAACTTCGGCTCGCATCTCTCGACCTCCTCTGCCGGCTCCCTGGTACCTCAAAGTCTGCACCAGGCGGTATCTGGGAGGTACCTTGTGTTCTCCGTACCCCGACCAACATCAGTCCGTACCACGGTCTATCAGTTCCCGCCGCTTCTGCTCCGTGCTGCCAGTACTGTGTATAAGATCGACGATAGAGATGCTCGCAATATCTGCTCCGTTGTCTTCCCTATCGATACCCCCCCTGGCGCCGAGGCCCACGCCCAGCTCGAATTCAACCCGACTGTCTGCCAATGAGGCCGTCGCGGACCGGCAGCGCAGGCATTTATAACAGCTACCCATCATTTATCGCATTACCTGGCCTGGTCACTTGGTGCCGCATTACTACCGCATTACCGCACATTGCCTGACGGGGCCATCCCATTGCATTTGCCTGAGATACTGTATTACTGCCTACAAGTCCGTCTGGCAGTTGTTTCCAGGCCCAAAACACGCGCTGGCCGCCCCGTTTTTCTCGCCTTTTCGACTGTTTGAAAGAGCAGAATTGCTACTATTATATTGTCGCCATCCCCAAATCGTGCCGAGCTGGCAAATCCCCCATCATTTCCCCCCTCCCTCCTCTTTTTTTTTGCCCTTTCTTTTTTTCCCTAACGCTTCCTGTGCCTCCCATCTCCCATCTTTTTTTTTTTTAACCTCTTCCCTTTTTCCCACCTCCGCCTCTCCCCTTTTCCCCCTTCTGCCTCAACTCCTCTCACCCTCCTTCACCCACCGCCAGCCACGCAAAACGACTCGGTTTTCCCATCAATCTCGCCTCTGCGCAGCGCCCGCGCCATCGCCAGACGCAGTTGAGTGCATCCGCAAGGCCTTGCTCTGCTGCACGCCATCCCAGCTGTTGCAACCGCTGCAGCCCTGCCGCCTCAGCGCAGCGCATCAGCTCAGGCCGCCGCGCATCATCCGGCCAGTCTGTCGCCCAACTGGCCGATTGTGAGGCTATTCGCAAGTCCAGAGAGCCCGGCTCCACTCGTCACGTTTCCACTCCGGCTTCCGGCCACTCACGTAACGTCACACTTTCTGCACACCATCGCCCGCCTGTCAAGGGCCGCAGCCTCGCCGACGCGCTTTGCCTTTCCTTTTCGCAAGGCTGCCAGTCCGCATTCAATCAACCACACTCGTTGCGCCTCGTTCCTGGTCGTTGTTGGTCCCTTTGCCGACTTCTATTTTTGTTTGATAATTTTCCTTTCTATTTTCTTCTTCTTCTGTTTCTGTCTCTTTGTTCTCTCTTTTCTCTCGGCATCTCTGTTATGTTGTAATACATAATCTCCCCTACGCTCACCGAACTTACTCACCTTTGCCGCTTCGGAATTGCCTCTGGGTAAGCGACGCCGAGAAGATCGTTTTAACTCGCACCGCGAAGAAGCGCCCGGCTGCCTCTCACAGCCTTCTCCTCTCCAACCTGTCATTCCTGCCGTGTCACAGAGGCCGTTTGCGCTGCCGCCAGGTCACAACCTAGACGGCAGGCTCCTCTCGCCCCCCCGGCTTCGCATTAGCCCTACTAAATGGCTGCTGTCGGCGACGCATCGACGAGATTCGATTCTTCCGCCGGCGAACTCTCCTCCCCGCCCTCGGGCTCCCTCTCAGAACCCGGGTCGCCCTCGCACGGGGCTGGCCGCCGTCCCAACGCCGCAAAGGACCGCTCAAAGCTCGAGATGGAGGAAATCGTCGTCAGTGGTGACCAGAACCCGCAGCAGTACTCGCAGCAGTACTCGCAGCCACCACCAGGGGCTTCTCCCGGAAGCGCCCCTGGCGCGCGCAACCAGCCTCCGAAGAAATATTCGTTAGTCGACGGCGAATGGGTGCAGCTAACAGCAGCGGGCGTTCCCCGCAAAAAGCCGGGACGCAAGCCCGGTTCGATCGTCAAGCCCAAGGCCCCGGCCGATGGAACCGAGCCGCCCAAGGCTCGCAAGCCGCGAAAGTCGCGAGAGGCTGAGGCAACGCCCGTGCAGCGTAAGAGAAAGCTGGCGCCTGCCTCCGACGTCGACGCCGATGCGCCCAGTCCACGGCCCCTTGCCCCTGCCGCGCTAGGAGCGCCCTCGTCCTCTTCGCCCTCCCTTCAGCCTCAGCTCGGCGAGGCCTTGACGTCGCCGCCGCAGCATCAGTTACAGCCGCTCTCGGACAGGCGATACTCGCCCAAGATGCAGAAGCGAGAGGGCTACCCCAGCTCCATGCAGAGCATTCTTAATGCCGACCCGCCCCCCGTCACTCGGTCGCCGTCAAACAGCATCGCTAGCCCAACCTCCATACCCGTGCGCACCAGCGGCCAGAGCTACGATCCCATCCGGGGCAACTATGATCCCGTCCGGGAGACCATCACCTCGCACTACTCCTCAGCCGCCGGGTCTCCGCGAGCCCCCCTGCCGGCTCAGTCCTCGCACCGCTCGCCGTCCATCGCCAGCATGATTGAGCCCCAGCCGGCCAAGGCATCGCCTAGCCAATCCCACCAGCCGTATCCCCCGGCTGTGTCTCAGTCACGCCTGCAGACGCAGGACGCCACCCCGCTGCCGCCTTCCCCGTCATACGTCCCCAAGGCATCGACGCCCACGCCAGCGAGCCAGGCCCCGGCTCTGAAGCCTTCCGTCCATGATGTAAAACGCGAGGCCCCGACGCCTCCGGCCCCCCGGCCCGTCGTTGACCACTCCAACTTCACCACGATTGCAAACGGGCCCGTGAAGAAGGTGTCCCCCAAGCAAAAACCCGTCACCGGCGTCTCGACACCAAAGACGGACTGTCTGGAAGAGACCATCATGGAGGTGGACGAGAGATCGATTCTCGACTTCGGCAGAGCTCGTCCCGGCGAGGAGAAGGAAACGCCCACCATTGTCCTCACCATCCCCATCGGCCAGGGTGAGACCAACAAATACGTCAACTTCATGCGCATGGCCGAGGACCAGTATGGTTGGGATGCTCTGCATCCCCGCCTTGCTGCTGACCGAGACCGCAAGGCTCGCATTGCTGCGGCCGCCGCGTCCTTGGAGAAGGTCGAGTCTGGCCGCGAGTCCGGTGACGAGATGTCCGTCGACCTGTCCGATGCCGAGGGCAGCAATCCTGAGAATGGTGGAGTCAGCGGCGCCGATGCGCAAGCCAAGCCGAAGAAGAAGCGCAATTTCAAAGAGGATCAATACGACGTTGACGACGACTTTGTGGACGATTCTGAACTGCTCTGGGAGGCTCAGGCTGCTGCCAGCCGAGACGGCTTCTTTGTTTACTCTGGTCCCTTGGTCCCCGAGGTCGAGAAGCCAGCTGCAGGGTGCGTATCATTCTTGATTCGAGTGTTCTCCTTTCTTCACTTACTAATCTAGGCATCACAGGCACGAGGAACGCCCTAAGCGCGGACGAGGCGGACGTGGCAGTCGAGGAGGCGCCCGGGGAGGAGCAACTCGAGGAGGAGCAACCACCGGGCGCGGTGGCGGCCCAGGCTCTAGAGGCGGCGCCGTCACACGGAAGCCTCGCATCACCAAGACCGAAAAGGCCCAGCGGGAGAAGGAGAAGGCCGAACGAGAGAGCATGGCCAAGGCGTCGGCCAACGGATATCCACTCCAGCCCACCACGCCATCATTGTCTGTCCGCGAGCTTGGTTCCTAGAAGGATGTAAAGGTAAAGAGAAGACGATAAATGATCTGCGACATTCCTTTCAGATACAGTTATGCCGCCCAGACGGTGGCGTTTTCCAAGAAGCTACACAGCAGCACTTTTCTCCTAATACGCGGCGGATCTGTACACATAATGACTACGAGCACCCAACGGACGACTTTTACTCCGGCTGCCTTTTGCGGCCTTTTGTCGATGATTTTCTTTTTATTCTCTCTCCCCTCCGCGGACCTGGATGTTCTCCTGTCAGCATTGCAAGCAACCACTAGCAAAGAGATCATGCAGCAACTGGATTTCTTGTCACGACGGTATATTCCGCGTTCAAGGGCATTTCCTTCACTATCAGAGGATAGGTAGCACGTCATGTCTCTGCTTTCCGCACAGACTCTTGTTCTCTGTTTGATTTTCTCTTTCGTTGTGTTTTCCACCTTGTTATTTCCCGCTTTTCTCTTTTTTTTCTTGCCCATTGGGCCTGCTGCTTTCTTTCACTTGTTGTCGGAATTGTATCAAGGGATGGAAACCTGGAGGGGGGGTTTGATGGTGGCGTTTATACGGTATGATGGACACACACAATGCTGGAAGAGGATTGTGAAGGGGCAGGCCTTGGAAGAGATGTTTGTTTGTTTTTCTCTTTCAACTGGGTTCAGAACCTGGCGGGATGGATGGAATTTGCCGTTCACTTTGGGGTCCAATGTGCATAATGGTGGCGTGAAAATATATGGCCGCTTTGACCGGCTTTTGTTGAATTCTTTTCTCTCTTCTCCTCTTGGCTATCTGGTCCTTTTCGCCTTCTTACACTTGTGTTCTCTTGCGATTCTCCTGACATCTTGAGGTTTGTTTGTGCCATTTTGCTTTTTTGTTCATTTTTGCTTTCTTACATACTGATGAAGAGTACATTATATGTGAAGAAAATAACATGAAAGCTTGCAAGCGCTATGCCTCCTCCTCCTCCTCCTCCTCCTCCTCCTCCTCCTCTCCTCCTCCTTTCGAATAAAGAACTCCTTCTAGTTCAGAAAGCCCTCAGGGAGTTAGAAAAGCTATTGTAACTTGCGACGCAGAAGACGAATGAAATAGGTAAGACATCTCCTACTTGACTTGTCCTTCTTTTTACTTCCATCAACGATTTTTTGCCCTTCCAAAAACTTCAACTATATATGTAGTGTTGTGTCGTGTTGTGCATATGTTTTCAAAGAAGAATAGTAAGTTTTCAAAGAAAAAACGGGGGGGGGAAGGGAACTAGATGGAATAGGACAATGATGTGACCAAAAAGCGAGCAAGAGATAAATGATCAAGGGGAAACAAGGTGTGTGATATTTTTTTTCTACGCAATGCTGAACTCGGCAATCTCGCCCATCTCATTCTTCAGCTCCTCGCCGACCTTGTACGACGCGCGCCAGCGCAGCTTGACGGATTCGACGCGCTGGCTGCGGTTGCCGGTGTGCCAGACGTCGACTTCTTGCGTGACGCCGCGGCTCTGCTTGGGGGAGAGGGAGCGGCCTGTCTGGGGCTTGAGCTGGAGTTCATAGCCCTGGGTGAATTCAAAGAGCGGGAGTTAGCGCTAGGAACGAGGAAAGGGGGGTGGGGGGGTTGGTTGTGAAAAAAAGGGGTAGGGGGGTTTTACCTTTGTGACGGCCAGTTGAAAGTGTAGCTCGGTAATGGGTTGCGCAGTGTTGTTGGAAAAGGCAAACACAATGTTGATCGAGTTGCTGACCGCGGTGGTCCTCTTGGCCAGAAACTCGGTCTTTAAGCTGGAGTTGCTGGCGACGCCCCGGTGCTCCTGGGGCTTGGCCGGCGCGGGCGGCTGTTCCGCCGGCAGCGCCGAGGAAAAGTTCCACTCGTCGTCGTCGTTGGACACGGCGGCGGGGGCGGGCTGCTGCGGCGCGGGAGAGACGGCGGAAAAGGCGGAGGCGAAGGCGCTGGAGGCGGACTGAGGCGGCGCCTGTTGCTGGAGGTAGTTGGGCTGAGGCGTGGCGGACTGGGACGCTGGGGGGGACGAGAAGGAGGCAAACTGGGAGAAGGGGGGCGGCGTGTCGTTCTGGCCGGCGCCCCTGGCAGTGCTGCCCTGGGTCAGAGATGAAAGCAGCGCAGGCCCGGGAATGTCTGTTGATGAAGTCAGTCAGCTATCAGGCATGAGGGTCAGGGTTTGCGCGCAACCTACTTTGATTTGCCCCAAACCCCAGGGCAATGCCGCCGCCTTGTCCAAACGTGCTCGACTGGCCGCTGATGTCCAGGCCGAGGAGGTCGTTCTCCAATCCACCAGTTTGCGATGAGGATGCGCCGTTGCTGCCGTTGCTCTGCGCGGCATCGCCATCAAAGTCTATGAGCGACAGCTCGTTCGCCGCTGAACTCGACGCCCCTGACTGGGATGGCGGCGGAGCGCCGGCTGCGACCTTGGCAGCGCCCTCCAGGTCGCCCTTCTTCATCAGCTTGTAGCGCTCAACAGTGCGATGTATGCTGTCATTGATCTCCAGCAGCCGTGCCACGGCCTCGTGATCGTCCGACTCCTCCTCGCACATCTTCTGGATCTTGGGCTGGGCGCTCTGCAGGGCCGCGGCAAGCTCGCTGAAGACATCGCCGTCCTGCATCTTGTCGCCGGGCCGGAAGGCCTCGAGACGCTCTTCCAGCAGCCGCGCCTTGGCCTGGATCTTGCCGACGTCCTCGGCAGCCTTGGCCCGGTAGTCTGTCTTGGACCTAGTGTCGTAGCCGGCCATGACCTTCATCAGACGGTTGGCCTCTTGGAGATCCTCGGGCGTGCCCCGGCGGATGAGCTCCTGAAGCTTCGCTGATTGCGCCTCCCGCTCCTCCTCCTCCATTTCTTCGGCCGATTTCAGGTTCTGTGGCCAGTAAGTTGAGCTGTCAGCGTCGATTCATACATATGAGAGTGATGCATGCCATAATGCCAATCTTCACAAGAGGTCACTCACATCACTGGGGTTCAGAACAGCCGCATCCTCCCGCCGCACCTCGGGAAACATGTATCCCTTGTAGCTCAGCAGGCGGTGCATGTCCCGGATGAAGCCCAGGTCGTCCTTGTACCTGCTCGTCTCGCATATCGTCATGCGCCACTCCTCTATCAGCTCGAGGATCTTGGCCTGGACGCGGGTCGGGCGGATTGGAGGCCGCTCCGGGAACCGCCGGACCAGCTCGTTGAGGAACTCCTTTGTGCTGATCTGCAGGTGGAACGGGTAGCCGCAGTTCTTGACGCAGATGTCGAGCAGGCTGAGGGCGAGCAGGGCGACGTTTGGGTTGCGGTGGTTGACGAAGCCGACGATTGCGGTGGCGGCCTCACGGGGGGCCGAGCCCTTCTTGCTGTTGATGAGGTCCGCGATCTCGAGGTTGAGCGCCAGGTTGGGCTCGTAGTTTTCGGGGCTGCAGGCGCCCTGGATGAAGCGCAGGAGCTGGGAGGGCGCGCGGCCGACATCGCCCCAGCGGTCGCGGGCCGCCGCGCGAGCAGAGGCAGCTTCCATGCTGGATAGATATGGCTGTGATGTGTTGTTGATCTCTGTGTTGATCGCTTGTAAGGATCGTCTCCTCCCGCTTGTCCGTCGATTCGGATGGTGGGAAGCTCGAGCTAAGGAGCAGGTCGTTGTATCTAGTTTGACAGCGAATCGGGCAGCTGTCCTCGCAATGGAAAAGCTCCAAGACTCTCCTTGAGCTGCGAAACCCGAGCTGATCTCCGGCCGTTTGGTCTCGACGGGAACGGACTCGCAAGCTGGATCCCGGTCAGCTCTCGCCTGAACACGACGTGGCCCCCGAGCTGCGCAGATTGGCCGTTTACCTCGATTCTTCGGTTCTCCTTCAGCGCCGCAGTTGTAACGCTGGTCTGGCGACTCGATCCATTCGCCTCCGCTTCTGGCAATGTGGTCACTGTGGCGCTGACCGCAGTCTGTACTGTACTGTATGCTGTTAATCTCTGTATGAGGCGGACGGGATGGAGGGCGAGTTTGTCTGCGTTGGCCGGCGATTGGCTGCCTTGCGGGTTGAATGCCTGGATCTATGCACTTACCGGGGGTGTGGTATTTGCGCGTAAGGTGCTTCTCCAGCTCAGTGCTCGGTATCTCGAGCATCGTAACGGACTTGTAGGGGTCAATCTCAACAGGCCAATATTTCATAGACGATATCTTGTAATAAAGAAACAATTTACCCATTTTATATCATTCAGGCATCGTCTTTTCCTCTCCCGTTCAACCTGCTGCTTACCAAGTATAAGCTCCTAGTGAAGGATCTGGAGGGGCTCCCAGCTGTACCTGTCACTCACTGCATGTACCTTCACTCACTGAACCAGCGGGCAAGCGGGAGGCCTTGAAATCCCGATAAGAAAAAAAATCCCAACTCCTCCAACTTTGTATCATCATCATCAACCCGCCAACTCGAACAACATTCTCCCCCCGAACTTGTCCATTTCTTCGCATATACTCGAATCTTCATCCCACACAAGGCTTCAAAATGGTCCGGCACAAAAAAGACTTCAACGCCAGAGGCAAGAAATTCGGCCCCCGAGGCGGCGGCGCTCCTCGCCAACCCCGCCATCGCAACGACAACGACGACGATGAATCCTCCTCCGGCGCGGGCAGCGGCCGGCCCGCCTTCAAGGCCGCCTGCTGGGACCTCGGCCACTGCGACCCCAAGCGCTGCTCCGGCAAGAAGCTGATGAAGCTGGGCATGATGCGCGAGCTGCACCTCGGCCAGCGCCACGGCGGCGTCATCATCACGCCCAACGGCAAGAAGGTCATCTCGCCCGCCGACAGGGAGCTCATGGACCAGTTCGGCGCGGCCGTCGTCGAGTGCTCGTGGGCGCGGACCAAGGAGGTGCAGTGGAACAAGGTCGGCGGCAAGTGCGAGCGGCTGCTGCCGTATCTGGTCGCCGCCAACACGGTCAACTACGGCAAGCCGTGGAGGCTGAACTGCGTGGAGGCGCTGGCCGCTGCCTTCTACATCTGCGGGCACGCGGACTGGGCGGAGCAGATTCTGGCGCCCTTCTCGTACGGGCCGTCGTTTCTGGACATCAACTCGAGTCTGTTGAAGAGGTACGCGGCCTGTGCGGACGAGGCGGGCGTGAAGAGGACGGAGGAGGAGTGGATGGAGCGGCTGGAGCAGGAGTATGCCGAGAGCAGAGAGGAGGGCCAGGGCGACATGTGGACCAGCGGAAACACAAACAGGAGAGCGCCGGTAGACTCGGATGAAGAGGAGGGCGACGAAGACGACTCAGAGGAAGACGAGAACTCGCAAGAGGAGGGAAGCATAGACGGCATATATCTAGGCAAACGGCCACCCAAGGAAGCAGAAAAAGAAGATGACGACGACGACGATGGAGAAGACGAGGACAAGGACCCCTACGCTCTCTCAGACGACTCAGACGATGACGACGCAATGGCCGAAATCCGGCGCAAAGTCCTCGCCTCAAAGACCTTTACCAACCCCAACCCCGACAGCGCACAAGACAAGCAGAAGCCCTCGACGATACCCCGTCCGCAGCAGCGGTTCAAAGCCGACCTCGACATTGAGCCGGATTCAGACAATGACGCCGGGGGCGGTAGTAGTGATCAGGACGGCGGCGGCGGCGAGGGGAGTGATGGCGATGACGACGATGAGTTTGACAACATCATTGCCGCGACGCCGGTGACGGATCGGATAGGGCTGGAGAAGCTGAAGAAGGAGAGGGCAAGGGCGGCGATTACGACGAGGACTTTTTCGTCGAATGTCGTTTCTGCGCCGAGTAGATGGTAGAGGACTCTTGTTGCATTGCAATGTTACCATCTGTTGTGTCTACTATGGCATGTGTGAAATGCTTCCTCTATAGACGAGGTTCCCGTCATTCTATACATTTTCCTCCTTGCATTCTGTCTTGGTACATCTCCAACGCATATCGTACAGATCCTCACACGTCTATATCGTAAAGCCGGCCTGGGTCGTTTAGACGTATGGCCCGTTATAATCTTACAAGTACCGCCTCTCCTTAATCTCCTCGTACGTCTGAATTTGGTCCTCAGGCTGGAAATCTTCAAAGTCCTCCAACCCGATGCCGCATTCTGTGCCCTTGCCCATCTCCTGGACGTCCTTCTTGACATGCTTGAGGGTATCTATCTTGCCTATTGTTTCCCCCCGAATTAGCACTCCAACACGATACAACAACGAGCATGAGAAATGTTTCACAGGGATACGTACCATCGTAAATGACCTCGCCGCGGCGAAGAACCTTGACGCGAGATGACTTCTTGATGGAGCCGTTTCGCACTCTGCACCCGGCAATGTTCCTGAACACGCGCTTCTTCAGGTTGATCGGGAACACCTGCAGGACCTCGGCCTCGCCGTTGACGCGGAACGAGACGTTCATGGGCAGAATGTCGGACAGTGCCGCCTTGACGTCGTCGACGACGTGGTAGATGACCTTGTGGTCGAGGATCTTGACCTTGGCCTCCTCCGCCCGCTGCTTGATGTGCGGCGGGATGGCGCAGTTGAAGTTGACAATGATGCTGTTGGACGTCGCCGCGTGGTCAATGTCGGACTCGGTGATCTGGCCGGCAGACGATCGCAGGATCTTGGGCCGCACCTCGTGGCTGCCCAGCTCCAGGATGGTTCCGCACACCGCCTCCACGGATCCGACAACGTCCGCCTTGACGATGAAGTTTTGAGTGAGGACGCCGGACTCTGTCGACTCGCCGGCAGTGGTTGGCCCGCTCTCGCCCTCTGCTGCGGCGTCTGCCGCGGCCTTTTCTCGTTGGCGCTGCTCCTGCTCTGCGAGTTGGATCGAGCTTTGTTCGCGCTCGGCCATTTCCATGCGGTACTCAACTGCTGTCTTTGCTTTGGCTTCGTCGGGCGATTGGATGACCTGCTCTCCGGCTGTGGGCAGCTCTCGCCAACCGAGAATCTCAACGGGAGTTCCAGGGGGAGCAGAGTCGAGCTCGAGCCCAGCCTCGTTACGCAACACACGTATCTTTGCCCATGTCTTACCAGCAACAATCAGGTCTCCCGGGCGAAGGGTTCCCCGCTTGACCAAGATGGTTGCGGCTTTGCCTTGAGGCTTGATGCTAGACTCGAGGACCCATCCCTCAGCCATGCCGTCATCCTCCGCCCGGACGTCCAGGATCTCGGAGAGCGTGACGATGTTCTCTTCCAAGTCTTCCATGCCCTGGCCTGTTTTGCCGCTAACGCAGACAACTTGCACATCGCCCCCGTAGTCCTCGATTTCAACCCCGTAACGAGAGAGGTCTGCCTTGACTTGCTCGATCCGAGCGTCTTCCTTGTCGACCTTTGTGATGGCGACAATGATGGGTACCTTGGCGCTTGTAGCGTGCTTCAGTGCTTCCAGCGTCTGAGGCTTGACGCTGTCATCGGCGGCAACCACAAGCACTACGATGTCGGTCACGTTTGCTCCGCGCTGACGCATCGACAAGAAGGCGGCGTGGCCCGGAGTATCGAGGAACGTGATGGACTTGCCCGATGACATTTTCACGACAAACGCACCAATGTGTTGGGTGATTCCACCGTGCTCTTGCGCTGCGACTGATGATTTTCGAAGCCAGTCCAGGAGGGTAGTCTTGCCATGATCGACGTGGCCCATGATCGTGACCACAGGAGGGCGAGATGGCAAAACGGAGGGGTCCTCCGGCGGGGGGCGAGGCCGGAGATCTCGCTGGGAGCCTGTGTCAACAGTGGGCTCGAAGCCGTATTCCATGGCAATGAGAGCCGCAGTCTCGCCGGTGAAGATGGTGTCGCTGGTGATGTTTTCGAAGCCCATCTCTTCCATGTCGTGCAGAAAGGGGCCCACGTTCTGTTTTAGAGCCCTGGACAGGTTCGAGGCGCTGATGTACTCCGGCAGGAATATCGGGATGGCTTGCTCCTCCTCCTCTACAGCCATCTGCTTCTGTGCCTCCTTTTCCGCTTTTCGACGTTGCTTCTGCTCCCAACGGTGTACAGCCTCATCGTCCCAGTCCTCGTCTTCGTAGGCTTGTCTGCTCTTTTGTGCTTTCTTAACCTTTTTCGATCGAGATTTGTCCGTCTGGTCTTCCTCCTCATCCATTTCAAATCTTGATTTTCGTCTTTGCTTCTCGGGCGCAACGTCATCTTCATCTTTGCGCGCAGATCTGGCTGTCTCGCTCAACAACTCTGGTTTGTCCCGAGGCCCTTGCGTATTCCGCTTTCGCCTATCCGCGGGCTGACTGTCGTTCTTGCTCTTCGCCTTGTCTCTGAGTCCCGTGGCTCTAGTTTCCAGCTCTCCCCAGAAATCTTGCCTCGGGGCATCCGGGCCTGGGGCAGACAGGCCAGTTGGAGCCGTGGATTCGTGGCCGTGTGCATGTGGCTTCACTCCAAGCTTCACCTTTGGCTTTGTAATTGGTTTTCGACCCTTAGTGATTTCGCTCCACACGCTGGATTGGTTCCCTCGAGCATCGACTCCATGAGGATGAAGAGGGGTCTCAGGTTTGCGATTGCTAAATGTACCCCATCCGGTGGCCTTGAGGCCGCCGCTTGTTGACGTCGTTTGCGATGCGCCAGAGGCTGCTCCCTGACGGCCCAAGGTTTTACTAGGTATTGATAGCCTCGACGGCCGTTTTGCAAAGTCGCCACCCTCGGGCTGTGGAGAGGTCCAAGAGTCTGGCGTTGGAGGAGCCCGCGGTTCTCGGCTGGTCTTGAAGACATCGGCCAAGATAGACCTCGACTTGGACGCTTGCAGGGGGTTGCTGCGCTGGCCGCCCGTATTCTGCTTCGGTTCGTTACTTTTGTTCGTCTGCGCAGCTTCCGCAGCGGCGGATCTCTGCCGGGCCTGTCGCTCGTGAGGCAGCAAGCCATCAGTCGCAGCTAAAGCGTCAGACGATGTCTCTGCTTTCGCAAATGTGCCCCAACCGCCTGCTCCAGCACTGGAGAATGCGCCTGGGAATCCCCCCGCCCTGGGAGGTCCCTCATTGTTCGCAGAGTTGCTGAGACATGCTGTCCGAGACAGCGATCGGGCCTGACAAGAGAGTGCGGCGCTGCGCGCTTTGCCCAGCTCCCGCAGCGCTGTCAAAGGCCTCGGTGAGGCAGATGAGATGGATAGCGTTCGTTCATGCTGCAGTCCGGCATTAACAGCCAGCTTCTGTCGACAAAATGCGCACACAAAGGAATGGCTGCGATCCTGAAGTATGATGTCAGTTATTGCAACAGCAAGCAGCGTCCAGCAACAGATTGGACACCAATCAAATGGTAGCAGAGGCAAACCTTCCACGCGCGAGCTCTTAACATTTCGACAGAGGATGGCCGCGAAGCTCAACCACAGCTCCCATCGGAATTGAATTAGGATGTTGGTAGAAGTGGCGTGTTTGGGTGAAAGAGAGATTGAATATTGCTGGTCGGCAGCTCTCGTTCGAGGTTAGCGGGTTATCTTTTTTTCTTTTTTTTTTCCTTCTCCAAGCTCGAGGTTGCAGTACACTTACCATTTTGGAGGGGCATCTCGGGATAAGATTGTCCGTGACTTCAGAGAAGCACTTACAGTATTCGAGGGCTTTATCCCACTGCAATGTTCCTGGCAATATTACCAATCTACCTACTGTATCTGTAACATTACCGCAACAGAGCGACATTCTTTATATCATTCTCATCATCCACAAAACTTACATCCCTTACGTGCAGTCTCGGGTAGCAGCTGAAAGTAACGGGTACATGTAGGATCTGCCGCCACTAACCCAAAGGGGAACTGCTGAGAAAGCTTGCCACGAAGCTCAACCTGGTCTTTCAGATGACGAGAGCACACGACATCTTATACAGAAGATACTCGGCTTGATGCTTGAGTGTCCCAGCTTAATCTTACATGCGTATCAACATCCTCATCATTTCTTTTTTATGAATCAATTGGTTCATTCTGGAAGCATTGGGGCGATTTCTCTGTGGATACGCGTACAGACAGCTTACAAGGCGGTCGGCGTCTGAATTTTGCTGGGGCCAACAATACAACATGTCCCCTTGAAGCTTCACCCACCTCCCTCTCACTCGCAACTCATCTACACAGCCCTTCTCACCACCAATTTGGCTTGACCAACGTCAGCCATAAGAAAGGCGCAATTATGGCTCCCGCCAAAAGAAGCGGCAAGCAGAAGCAACCCGCTGCCGCATCGTCCGGCAGCAATGGCAACCCCCCGGCGCCCTTCAAGCGGCCCCCTGAGGTCCTGGAGCCCTTCATCCGCGAGCTGAATCAGAAGCACATCTACATCACCCACATCGACGCCAAGCCCGCCGCCTTCAAGCGCAAGATGTTCCTCGTGCCCGTGGCCATGAACGTCGCCGTGGCCCTTGCCTTTGTCTGGCGCATGTACGCCATCCTGCCCTTCTACTGGAAGATCCTCATGTCCGGCTGGGGTCACCCTAACGAGACCACGTTCCCCTTCCACGAGGCCACCTGGTCCGAGCTGGGCTGGGAGGTCTGGAAGCGCGGCATCGTCATGTTCATCGACTTCATGCTCTTCGTCTTCGTCTGGCCCTGGCCCGTCGAGTTCACCATGGCCACGGCCCACGGCAACCCGGCGCGCTGGCGCTGGAACGTCGGCTTCCGCGACAAGGAGATCTACGTCCGCCGCAGCCGCGACTGGGACAGGATGCTGCGCGACATCTTCAAGGACGCCGACTCCAACAAGATCCTGCTCGCCTACACCCAGCAGGCCACGTCGCCCATGCTGCAGGAGCAGAAGACGGGCTACCTCCTCATGAACGACAAGTGGGACCTCGACTGGAACCTCATGGTCCTGGCCCACAAGATGGTCGACAAGAAGGAGGCCGCGCTCGACGCCTTCAGGAACGTCATTCTCGTCTACCACCAGGACTACGGCTGGATCTGCCACGACCTCAAGCAGGGCATCGCCGCCGAGGAGGACGAGAGGAGGAGGCAAGTCTTTGCCTTCCGCGACGCCCTCACGGCTCTGGGCAAGGAGAACCTGTTTTACCGCTGGATCGAGATTGTGCAGTTTGAGTCGACTCAGCCAGGGGGTTTTGGCCGGGAGAAGCAGGAGGCGGCGGCCAAGAAGATCCGTGAGCTCTTTGAAGCCGAAGGCATCGACTTTGACGAACTTTGGAAAGACGCCGTTGGCACCAAGGCATGAGGACTTGCTCATCTCCGTGGGCAAGTCAGTGGGAAAGCAAATTAAAGTTACTTATATGGCCATGTAAGGGATTTGCTGGTGAGGGAAACTTATCATGAAAAAATTGTCATGTATATTAAATGCCTACCTACAAAACAAATAGCAAGTAGCTGGGACTGTAGCTTTAATGGGATCTACTGTCGATATACTCTTCATCTTCTACGCCTTCGGTCTTTGATCGCGAGTAACACATAGCGCAATAACACCTCAAACTCACCGCTTCGTAACATAGTGACGCCATGAAAAAATGCCCTGAAGCCATGCAGCTCCAAGGCGCGCTCGATCTCTCTCTTTTGATGCCAAGAAAGGGCCAGAAAAAAAGAAAAAAGAAGGGCACCCGTCTGGAATCGAACCCCGACCTTTTGGAAGAAACAGGCGCTGCGAGGGCGTCCAAAGATACCTGCGCTCAGAGTACCTTTGGACACAGCTGCCATGGCCGTAATCCCACCACCCTCAACACCACACTCAACACTACGCACCATCGAGGCGGCGACGCAGCTTGATCTTCACAACGAAATGAAAGAAAAAAAAGACGGTGAAGAAGAACAACTCAAATGCAAAGAATTGGAAAAGAAAAGCAAAAAAAATAATGCGCCCAGCGACTCTCTCTTATCAGCGGAGGTCCTACTGCGCGCCCGCGGGTATTTCTTTGCGGGTACCCGTAGCCCGAGCGCCGACAGGAGGGGCTTTCCGTCGGGTAACCCAAGGCTGGGGGCCGTGTCTGAGAGTTCCTCACCTGGAAGTGCCATCAGCCGTTCGAGCCGCGCAAGCTGGGGAAGCCCCCCCAACTTCCACCGTCACTCGATCCGACTGCGCCACTCCCAAGTGGGTAGCTCGCTGTTGATAGGCATTGAGCAGTTTTGATATATAAGGGACTGGAACTTGGCAGCTGGCAAATGGTGCAGCGCTGCAGGAGTCTGGTGCAGCCGTCGCCAGCGCCAGTCAAGCTGCGACCGTAGATGGCGATGGCAAGGTTTTGCAGCCATAGTGCACGTCGTTTGAAGGACACCAAGGCGATGCCGCTATCCTTGTTGCTTGAGGTAGAGGAAGAGCTGAAGGCCTGAATAGAGTGTGCATCCATATGTGCTGTTCTGCCTAAGGAGGTGAAGTTAGTATACAAGTCATGCCAAAGAACCAGGCCCAGCTGTGCCGTGAAAGAGCGCCTACCGGCTTGAAGCAAGTATCCATGCAGACACTTTGGCGGCATGATGCTTCCAGCATCAATGTCTGCTCAAAGATGTTCATGCATGCAATCACTTGTGTGCATGAGACAATCCCCGGCCTTTGTCATCCGGGACTCTGGCATGATCCATCTTCGTGTTGAACCCAGATGGCAAGAAGAGGATTTCCATCGTGCCGTATTTCAAGTATTGATAGGCTCGGAGTATATGAGCTCACTGAACCAACAACTAGCATCAAAAAGCTCGGACGTCGTGAGAAGCGACTATCATCTGTCCAAGTTGTTCGCCCTCGGACTACCATGCTGCGAGGTCCATCGTGCATGGCCCACGACTGCTGCTGCGGCATACTGTGGTTGATTGCTCTAGAACTTGTCAGGTCCTCATATACGGATGCCGCATGGCATTGCTGGAAGGGATCATTGAGGTCGAAGACAGTCATGATAGCTGAAAAGCCGTGCGCGCGCCATTCTTCGTGTCCACGACTTGGATGTCTCCGGAAGCGAAAGAGAAGCAGATCTGAACGATGCTGTTCGCTTCAAGCAGGACCAGTAACAGAGACGTGTACAATATGCCTCGCAGGCCGGATATCGCGAATGGAAAAGTCAATGGCCTTGGTGGTGTCGAGCAGCAATCTTGCGTCGACGTTGAGAGTGGAGAAGCGATCTCTTTTTATCTTTACGTGGCTTTTCTCGCGGACTCGGCTACCGAATCGGGCAAGTGCTTCGCCTACTTCCTGCCCAGGGCCGAGTGAGGCTCAGCACAGGCGCAGAAGCGATCAAAATGGCTGGCAAGCACATCGAATGCTTTTATTCGCACCTGCCTGGGCTTGTGACCGTAACTGTATAGGTAGTTGAAGTTGATATGGAGATGCCATCAACGTCGTTGATTGAGGCTGTTTTCAGCGACCTTTCTAGGTATGTGCCAATCATGGGAGGAACATCTACTGATGCGACTAGCGAAGCGTCTCTTTGTTACTCTTTTTCTACTCTCAGGCTTACTCAACACGCGTATAAATAGAATAGCTGCGTCTTCAACTGTAACCTCGATACAGAGTGCCAGGCTGCGATACAGTGCACGTACTCCGTAGTTCCAACCTCTGCAACTTGTACGAGCAGTCAACACTTTATCAGTGTCTGAGACATGTTCAGAACGGCACGGCCTTGTATTAGTCGTAGCTCTGCGAGCGTCTCCGTCACCCATCTTTATACTATCGACCTAGTACTCATCGCGTCACCTGTCTCATATTGAGTCCTGATATCTGCTCCTCTCCAACACAGCCCGCTTCTAAGACGAGATACGGCCGACCACATCAGTAGCCAAGAAACCTTGCTTGCTCGTCATCATAGATCTACTATGCCTACTCGGTCAATGATTTCTGATCAATTCCCACTCCAGCTCCCCAATTGCCACCAAAATCTTTGTATCACCAACACCCTCCCTTGATGGCTCTCTCGAGGCGTCGTAATAAAAGTTGCGCCACTGCTCCGTAGCCCATCTCAATTCAGTTGGCTCAGGCCTATTGATCCAGCGGCTAGGCGTCCCGTCTAGCGCTGTTTCTGCCCTCCATGGCGCTGGAAAATCCCCCCCTCCATCCCTGCTGCGACACCGAGCCTCAAGTGGCCCAATCAGTGACGCGGCCCACCAGCAGCAACCAGAACAAGGGACCTCGTCTCTCCTGCTTAGACGCCTGTGGACCTTTCGCAGATTTGCCTGAGCCATACTGCGGACTTGTACCGATACAGCTGCAACTTTCTCGTGCGTGACCGCGCTGTGCACCATCGGCCTGCGGTCCGTTCCTCGTCGTTCTCTTGCGGCATTGACTGTTGACTCGCATTCTGCTCGAACCCCGCGTCTGCTGCCTCAACGACCGCTGCTTCTCACCGACTCGTGCCTGGTCTGGGGCTGGGCTCCTTCGACGATCGACGACCGACGACCGCTCTGCCAGAATCGGCGCATCCCTCCCCTAATCAACGCCTCATCCGAACGCCCAGCATGTCCTCGTCAGGCCTGACGCGACGCCGTGGAGCCGGCGGCGGCGCTGGAACCGAGGGCGAGAGCAGCAACGGCGTGTCGAGGACCAATTCGACCCGGGACGCTCGAGACAGCGCCCCCGAGACGAGCTACGAGAGCGGCGAGAATGGCCACAAGATTGCCTTTGACCCCCGAGACATCAGCGAGTCGGCCGAGCGGAGCAAGCAGCCCAAGCTGACCATGATGGAGGAGGTGCTGCTGCTCGGCCTCAAGGACAAGCAGGTACGCGGTCATACTCTGCAACTCTGACTCTGGATAAGACCCAATTGCTAATCTGAGCCCTTGCTAATTTGCTGCCATCAGGGGTACCTCTCGTTCTGGAACGACAACATCTCGTACGCGCTTCGAGGATGCATCGTGCTCGAGCTTGCGTTCCGCGGGCGCATCGCCATGGAGAAGGACCCGGCGCGGCGACGGTTCCCCTTGGCCGACCGAAACATTGAAGTGATAGACGATACCCTCACCGGCGAGGTGCTGCTCGACGAGGCGCTCAAGATGATGAAGCAGAGCGAGAAGATGAGCGTCAGCTCCTGGATTGATCTGATGAGCGGTACTTTTTGCCTCCCCCGCCCCGCGTCCAGCTCCTTTTTTTTTTAAATGTCAACTGCCCGTTCACGCTGCTGCTGTCCTCCTGCTGCTACGGCGGCGACGTTGACACAGAACGAACAATCTCACCCATATGTACATGCAATCAGTGCCGCGGCTAATGCTCTGAGCCAGGCGAGACTTGGAACCTGATGAAGATAGGATACCAGCTCAAGCAGGTCCGCGAACGATTAGCCAAGGGCCTGGTCGACAAGGGCATCCTACGGACGGAGAAGCGTAACTTCCTTCTCTTCGACATGGCCACCCACCCCGTCGCCGACGGCGGCGCAAAGGAGGAGATCCGCCGCCGCGTGCGCAACGTCCTGACCCAGCGCACCGTCGTCCTCAACGGCAGCCAGTTCCTGCCCGAGAACCTCGAGTTCCGCTACCTGCGCACCGTCGCCATGGTGTGTGCCGCCTACGCCGCCAACGTGCTGGAGAATGCGCTGTCCTCGCTGGGCCACGAGGCGCGGGAGCGGGCGTTTGCGCAGACGGACGAGCTGCTGGCGGACTACAGCCAGTTCCCCTTTGGAAAGAAGGCCACGGGCAATGGCATCGGAGCCAACCTCCCGCAGGTCATTGCCGAGGTGAGATGACGACGCACACACACACACACAAACTGTGGGCCAACGGGGCGGTTTATGCTAATTGAGGATGTGGTACAGGAGGTGAACAAGGCCAAGGACAAAGAACTGCAGCTCGAAATCGTGGCTGCCTGCCTGAGCGTCTTCACCAGACTCGACTCGCTCCTATAAACGAATCCCGACAAAAAGGCTCCTGACGACCGACCACTATACATTTTTCTAATTCGAGCTTGATGATGACAACAGAAGACCAAAGGCTCCCCATCGATTGCCTTTCCATTCACGGATACAGCTCTCTTGAAAAATTCCCACTACTCGCCCCTACCACTCGCCTTCTTCTGTCGTCCTTCGTAACGGGGGGCTCTCAAAATATTGCAAGAAAAAGAAAAAAAAAACAACCCCCTTGATATCCGACCACATCTTGCCTTCGCTGTCACGTTATTTGAGAAAGATGGAGAGGGAAAATGATGCGGATTCATCCTCTTGTTTATGTTCATGCTATTTTTTCTGCTGCTGTTGGAGGCTTTTTACCGGCTGGTACGAAATACGACCACATAAAGGATGATGGCGAGGGGGGGCATATCATGAGATGGAAGGGGGGGAGCTTATAAAGAAGGAGGCGGGGCTGAAACAAACCAAAACAGAGAGAGAGAGAGAGAGATTCGGGAAATGAGAGTTTGTCTAGATGGTGATTTTTCTTTTCTTATTAATTTTATTCGATTTTTTTCTTTCTCTTTTCTTGTTTTCTTACTTGGTCTTGAAAAAAAAACTGTTGCTGCTTCTTGTAGGTTGGAGGGGGGACATGGATGGAAAAGGTGGGGGGAGAGAAAAAAGGCCTGGACGGATGTATGAAGGAAACAACTTGGGTGATCTAGGACATAGTTTGTCTGTATGTATGCATGTATGCCTTTGCGTATGGAGGTTTTGTTTCCTCATTGATGCTGGAAATGGGGGCGGAGAAAAAACGCAATGAAGTAACAAAACCACTGAGAAAACAGCCCTCACGAAGACGGATAAGAGAGAGTCATGAAACGCAGGTGCGAGAAAAACATGTTCGGGACAAAAGGAACAGACGTAGACCCAGGCCAAGGCTAATATTATTACACGATATAAAAGGAACTTGTGCCAGCTTTGTCTTCCCGTCGTTTGTTCGTTCCCACATCCCATCATTCCCCCAAATCATCAATCACTTGCGCTTCCCGCCCACCCCAAAGCTCCCCTCAAAGCCGGGCCGGCCGCCCTTCTTCTTGGAGGCGCCGCCCTTCTTCTTCTTGCCCGACCGCCGCAGCAGCTTGTCCTCGCGCCGCTGCTTGATGTTCTCCTCGCGCTTCTTCTGCTTCTCGCGCTGCGCCTGGGCGACGCCCGTCGCGCGCTCCTTCCACGCCTTCTCGCTCTTCTTCTTGGCCGCCTCCTTGCGCTTCACGGCCTTCTTGAGCAGGGCCTCGTCGTCGCGGATCTTCTCGCCCTCGGCGCGGCGCCGCGCGTTGAGCCACGTCTCCTTCTCCTCAATGTCCTGGCGCTTCTCCGCGTCGAGCTCCTCGATGCGCTTCTTCTCGTGCTGCACCTTGAGCAGGGCCGTCTTGGGGTCCGACGGCCCCTTCTTCTTGCCCCTGTTGAGGAAGTAGCCGAGGTCGTGCGACATCTGCGTGCCGTCCGCAAACGCCACCCGCCCAAAGGCGAAGGACCCCTGAGCGGCGGCGTCGTCGAGGCTGACGTTGGGGCTCATGACGCCCGGCGAGTTGGACGCCAGCGCCTCCTCGCGCTTCTTCTGCGCCTCCTCCTTTGCCAGCTGCCGCAGCTCCTTCTTGTGGGCCTTTCGCTGGGCTTCTTTTGCTCTCCTCGCCTCGATGAGCTCTTGCCTTGTGCGAATGGGCTTGCCGTTCGTCCCGTCGGCCTTTCTGGCCGCGCGGAGAGCCTCGATCTTGGCGGCAAGACGAGCTCTCAGGGCGGTTGTGTCTGCAGGGATCTTGAGGTGCTTGGGCTTTTCTGACGGGGCGACTTCGGAGATGGATGTGGTGGTGCTGGCGGGCTCTGTTGATGTGGGCTGGGTGCCGTTGGGAGTCTCGGTAGAGTCAAAGGTGGGAGAGTGTAGTTCGGAGTCGGGGGCCGACACAGCGCTGCCGTCGTCTTCTCTCTGCAGGCCAGAGAAGTCTAGGGAGGGGTCAAGGCCGTCCTGCTGATCTTGCATGATCTCGTCCTCCGCCTTGTCAGAGGCTTTCACATCAACGTTCTGTGATTTCGATGGAGTCGGCTGGGGTTTTGAGGGTGTAGCTGCTTCCTTTGCCGCTTTCTTGTTCTTCTGCTTCTTCGACGCAGGCGTGCTGGTGGTGGTGGTGGTCTCGGTGGCTCCCTTGACTGGGGTCTTGGCCGGCGTCTTGGCTGGGGTTGCTGCTGCTGCTGCTGCTTCGCCCGACTCCTGCTTCATCTTCTTCTCGGCCTTCTTCTCAGCCTTTTTCTCCCGCTTCGCCGCTCGCTTCTCCTCTTTTCTTGACAGCTTCGGCGTAGCCTCAACATCTCGTGCCTCATCTTCAGCCTCACCGTTGCCCTCCTCGGCTTCCACGTCGCCGTTGGTCTTGGCCTTCTTCTGCGGCATGTCAGGGTTCTTCCGCTTCAAGCCTTCGAGGGGCTTCTCAGTCTCGACGCCAGCGATGGGCTCGTACGCCTCCTCGGGCTCGTTGTCGTCCTGCTCCATCTCCCGCAGCTTCCGCTTGTTCTTGGCTCGCTCGTCCATGATTTCCTTGGCATTGCGGTTCAAGGCGCTGTCGGGGTCTAGCTTGGCTCTGCGGGCGGCTGCGGCCTCCTGTTTCGTCTGCTTCTCCTTTTTCCATTGATCCTACAAGGTCGAGATAACGTCAGCCCTGGGTCCTTCCAATAGCTTCACCGGCATCTTCTCATCGAGCAAGCAGGTGTCTGGGTAATCTACTGAATGGAGAGTGCAAGAACTCGGTAGGGCGGGAGTCGGTCAACGTACGCTTGTGTCTTCGCCGTAGTACATCTTGGCCGGGATCAGGCTCAGCAGGCCATCGAACGCCTTGGCATGATCGCGCAGGCGATCCTAACGAGCCATGTCAGCGAATTGATTTGCGCATTCTCGCCTTGCCCAGCTTCCCTTGCCTGTGCATCTTTGCAACGACCGGTCGGGCTGAGCAAATGCAGCGGAGGTTTGAAAAAACGAACCTGCAGCGAGGAATCCGCCATCGTAGCTTCAGTTATCGTGAGGAAACGCAGTATATCCACAGAGAAAGAATCACAATATGCGAACGACGAAGGGCGTCTAGACTTGGGAAATCTGGCGACGGGCGGCTGATTGAATCCGCAGCCAGCAACGTAGAAAAAGTGCAGAGGAATCGCTGGTGGTCTTGGTTGTGAGGTGATGTTTTTTTTTCCTCTCTTCCTGCCACTGTCTTGCTGGGATGGAACTTTTCCTGAATTTTTCGGGGTGTCCGCAATTTTTTTTTCCGCTTTAGCTGTACCGCGAATCTGGCTGTGGGGTAGCCGCCTACTTGCCAGGTACTACTACTACTACTTGCCTAGCGGAACCGCGCATGCGCTGCAAAAACCGAGATTCATGATATTGAATCGAATTATGGGATGGACATTTCATGAGATATGGCATCACGAGTTTTGATACAGGTAAAGCATTGAAGATCTGTGTTAGGACATCTCAATGAGAATTTGATGACGATTATCTGCAGTCTGCAGTCTCTCGTCGTTCAGGCGCCATGATATCAAGACAAGCTGAAGCAGGGGTCACGAGAGCATCAAGTAACTCGCGTATAATGGCGACAGAACAGCTGGCGGAACCAACTTTAACAAGGCCATGTTCAGTAGCTCCAACTACCTGTACCCGTCAGGCAGTCCGATTACACCCCCTTGGCTTCTTGGATTGCGAAACATCTAACCAGATCTAGCCCGCGGTCGTCAAAAGCCAAGCCATAGAAGATGATTATTTCTTTTTGCTGGCCTTCTTCGGGCCAAGGGCCGCCGCTCGCAGCTTGGCCTCTCTGGCTTCGATTTCGGCCCTCCGCTCTCTCTCCCGCTCTTCCTTCTCTTCCTTCTCAGCCTATAAGGGGGGGAAGTTCTCATGTTAGCCATCGTAGCAATGATACAAAACATGTAGAGAGCCAAAAGTTCTGAATCGAAAGGGAAAAGTCTTACCTGTCTCCTAGCGGCATCAGCCTCGCGCTGTGCACGGATGGCCTTGAGGCGGGCAATATCCGCCTTGGCCTCGTCCGTCTTGCCCTCGGCATGCAGCTTCATGTACCTCTCCTTGGCGGCCGCCGCCTCGGCCGCTTCCCTCTCGCGCCGGCTGGCAGGCAGCTTCTTGACGCCCTCGGTGATGGCGTCGACGTCCGCGGCGGCCTTGGAGGCCTGCTTGCGGGCCGAGGAAGAGTGGTTCGGGTTGGCGGGCAGGTCCAAGTCGCTCTCCTCGTCGCTTGAAGAGGGCATGTCGCCGACCTCGACCTGGCGGCTCTTCTGCTTGGCTATCGCGGCCTCTTTCCGGGCCTTCTTCTGCGCTTTCCGGTCTTCGCGGTTGGCGGCCTCGGCGGCTAGTTGGGCGGCCGGCTTGCTCTCGTCTTCCTCCTCGGACTCCTCTTCGGACGACTCCTCGGACTCGTCTTCCTCGCTGTTGACCTGGGCGTCGTCACCCCACATGCTCACCGCATTGCCCTCGGAGTCGATAGGCTGGAGATTGCGGGAGAAGTGCTTGCCGCCTGGTTTTGGCGCAGAGTTTCGAGTTAGCTCACATGATGCAACGGCGCAACACGCATTTGCTTTCGTTCAAAGCAAAAATAGCAGCAAAAGACTCGGACGTAGTGGTTGAACTTGCCTCCTCTGGTGAATTTTCGGAACTTGCCGCCGCGGCCACGCGAGCTCGATCCAGGAGCACCAGCAGGCATGTTGGATGGGGAAGATTGTCAAGGGCTATTTAGCGAGAAGATGTGCGTTTTTCGTAGGCGCCGTGTATGAGTGCGTCTGGGTCTGTTCGTGGGAAGATAGAAAAGGAGAGAGAGTGTGTGTGTAGGCGTTGGAAATGGATGCGCTTCGAGCTGGCAAACTGCGGCTTTGCGCTTCTTCGAGGCTGCGCACAACTTTATCACAATCGCTCGTCGAGTCACCAGTGGCCCGGCGGCGGGGTAGCGGGGTACTTGTACGGTACTTGCACGCCCACCTCAGCCTTGCTCACCTTGCACAAGAGACACACAGCAAACCTCTGAAAGCTCTACTCTCATTCTGTTCTTCCTTTGTCCCTCGGAGGGTTCTTTGGTCGAGTCCGTCACTGTAGTGCAGCTGTATGACTCACAAAGATTATCGCTGGCACATTGACGCTTGAGCATCTCCTGCAACAAGCTTCAAGGATTGTTCGTCCAACTGCCATCAACTGACTTCGGGTTGGACCCTTGACAGGGCAGGTAGCGTTGTAGCACTAAGGTACTTTGTTGCAGACCAGGCCCTTTAGGCGTTGAAATCGACGGGAGACGATTGGTCGACTGGGCCGCAACCACCACAGAGGCCAAGCTCTAACATCTGCAGTCATCGTATCGTGCAAGTACCTAGGTATCCTGACGCTCTCAATGGTGATGACTCTCTCGGTTTGAAGACATGCAAGTCTATAGAATGCTAAAATCCGGTAATCAAGTCTTCAAATTACATTGACTGACAACAAAAAAAGCCACAAGTGCCCTTGACAAAAAACTTCAAGCCTAACAAAAGCGCAGAACGTCCATGTACAGTACATTGTGCCATAAAACCCTTGCCCATCACCGCACCCACGTTTTTCCGTTCCACCAAAAAAAAAAAATCCACACCAGACTGAATAAAAACGTCCTCACCAGATTTACTTTTTGCTCTTTTTTTCTTTTTTCTTTTTCCTCAGTGAAACCTACTAGAAATATTCCTTCAAATTCACTCTGGCTTTCGACAACCTTTGGATGCGCCTGGAGGGGAAACTGGAGGATAGAACAATTTCTGCTGACTTACCCTCTGTCCTACTATACTCCCCTCTTCGGAGGGTTGCGTTTGGGATAGATAAATTTTTTCGGCGGTACATGCCTTCTTGCTTGACCTTGTTACGTCTTGATACTCTTGTCTCAACGACGACGTTGAGATTGGGAAGCTGCCCTTTTTTTTGGGCGTCTACTCTATATACCGGGAAACGGCTTCCGTGTGACGTGCTTGTCAATCGTAAATCTTGAGGAGATCCAATGCTATGGCTACATTTATTTAGCCAGCCATTCATCCGCATGCCCATGCGCCATCATTCCGCTGCCATGTCTCATCTAGAAAGCGACTGCAGCATTTCGTGCAGCTGCTTCCTCTTCTGCGTCGGCCGCGGGTTTGCCGTTCGAAACCCGTCGCTGAAGGCATGACTGAGTTTCTGAGGCCTGTGCCCGTGGGTGTATTCCTCCCCTTGGCCATTGGATTTCTCTTTCGCGTACCGGCCCGCATCCATCCGGCGGGTGAAGATGTACCGCGCCGTCGAGAACAAGCCCCGGCTCACGTAGGACGGCTTCGAGGCGATGCCTCCTCGCCCGCTGTGGCCTAGAAACAGGCATGCCATGGGCCGCGACGGTAGCACAAACGGACCGGCTACGGCCTGCTTGTCTACGGGAAGGCCTTGGTTCACCATGTCCGTGTCGCCGCTGAGCTGGCCGAGGAACGAGTACAGCCAAAAGGCCCATGCCTCGAAAGCAACGCCGTGGCAAGCGCCCGCTTCTCTGGACGCTGCGTCCGGGTCCCACGAGGGCAGATACACCTTGCCCGTGTCGGTGAGGTAGTCCAGGAGAGGGGGCGCCTCTCCATTGGGAACAAACTTGATGGCACACCGGGAATCGCTGCAGAGCGTCACCAAATCGGCGTCGACACTCTTGATGGAGTCTCGCGTCTTGTTGACGTGTTCGTCTGGGACAAGCAGCATCAGGTTTTTCAGCAAAGAATTCTCGTAGCCACCTGAGAGATCAGTCACCTTCCAGCCGGCTTCGGCTGCCTCTTCCATCGGGTCGTGCCAGCCTTTCTTAGAGCCCGTAACATCAAACAGCGCTAATGAGGGAAACTTGGCGACCCAGCGCAGGCAGTTCTTGGAAGTTGATCGGTCGCCCCAGATCCTCAGAATCCTCAGCATGGGAAAGGGATCCTCCGTCTCCGTCCAGCCGCGGATGAGGTTGTCGCTCACATCCGGGAAGTAACCGCCCGTCTCGTCGGCCGGCTGGATGATCTCCAGCACGCCTAGATTCTTCATGTCTGCTAAGCTGAGCATGTCATGGACGGCAAAGTCGCTGCCGCCGCTCAGCACGAGGTGGGTGATGAACTCCGTCGGCAGAGACGTGAGCGGCGTGGTGTACCATTTGAGGTCACTCGCGTTGGGATGGCAGATGTGCTGTCGAAATCGATAGAGCCCGAGGCTCTTCTCGTCGTCTTCACGTAGCAGCAACGCCGAGAACAGTTTCCAAGCATGGAGGCTTACACCTCTAGACGTAGCTCGTCAGTAACTCATTTTGGCATGGAGCTTTGCGTGAAGAAACCAGCAGCGTGCCGAGCCCAGCTCTCATCGAGCTCGTCGCTGCCGCTCAATCATTTCATCCGTAGAGTGAAAAGGCCAACAAACCTTGCCTCCAGAAAACGCCAGATGCGCCAAACAAGCTGTATGGGCATCGCCCCGAGAAACTCCTCCGACACGTCTCCAATGTTGTCCGCGATGACATTGACGGCCATGTCCATCAGAGACCGCGGGCCTCGGGCGCCGCGAGGCTTGAACAGGGGATACGGCCGCTGCCGTGACCAGTCATGGTCTGAGGTGGCGCTGATCCGGCCTGCGATTGTCCATTCTCGATAGACCTGGCCGGAGGATGGGTCGTAGGTGTTCATGGCCACGCGATGCCACTGGGAGAGAGCCGGTCACGACAGATGGATGCACGGCTAATGGCGATGCTACATGAAGAAGGCCTGATAGACGAGCGTAAGTCAAAGGGAGATGGGCGTGATGGGGTGAATGAAGATATATAAATGGCAAGCCAAGCGGCACTTTTGCAGCCAGGCCAGACCTGGAGAGGCGCCCCGTGATGCTTCGAGTTGATCGTTGCAGCTTTCCTCGAGGTGGCGCATGTGAGTTGTACTAGATAAGGTATGAACTTATAAGGCAGTGCAGCTCTGCTGGGATGTGTCAGCAAGGCGCAAAAGGCGGCAGCTTGTTTCTGGTCCAGATAGTCAACGGGCTACAAACAAGCCATGGCACTGAAGCTGCAGAAACGATGGAAGCCTTCACTGTTGCTTACGCACAGTCGTATTTTTGCCTTCACTGGTGTTTACATACAGTAGTATACTCGCCTTCAAGGTGTTTCATTCATTCATGCAGATAAGCCAGCGCTACCCTAAATCTATCTCCTCCCAAACGCCTGTGCTGGTGTCCAGTCACAGCAAGCTCATGCAGCATCCCATCGGTCATACAACCCGCCGGTTTTGGGTATTATATACATTAGCACGTTGCTTCGTAGTGTTACATCAGATATGACCCCAGCATCCCATCAGCATCGACCGTCTATAGCATGGGCTTCAGGTCCTCGGCGACCGTGAATGGCGCCTCCGTCTTGCTCTTGATCTCGTCTACCGTCACTCCGTCTGCGATCTCGATGAGAGTCAGGCCGTGGGCAAAGTCGACATCGAAAACACCCTAGAGAAAGAGGCATGTTAGCGTGTGGCTCTCGTGAAAACGGACGGCGAACAACAGGGTGAACGAAAAAACACTTACCAGCTCGGTAATGATTCTAGAAACGCACGCGCGGCCAGTGAGCGGGAATGCGCACTGCTTGACAATCTTGGGGTTGCCCTTCTTATCGGTATGCTCCATGGTGACTACGACCTTGGTGGCGCTGGGGTTGCTCACAAGGTCCATGGCGCCTCCAAAGCCCTTGACCTTGCCCGGCAACATCCAGTTGGCCAGGTCGCCAGTCGCGCTGACCTGCATGGCACCAAGGATGGTCAGGTTGATCCTGCCGCTGCGGATCATGCCGAAGCTCTCTTCGCTGCCAAACACTGCGGCGCCGGGTTTCAGAGTGACCGTCTCCTTTCCGGCATTGATCAGGTCGGCGTCCTCCTGGCCCTTCTTCGGGTATGGGCCAAGGCCCAGAATACCGTTCTCAGACTGCAGCTGCACCTCGACCTCGGGGCCGACAAAGCCGGGCGCAAGCATGGGCATGCCAATGCCCAGGTTGGCGTACATGCCGTTCTTGAACTCCTTGGCTGCTCGCTTGACGATTCGCTCCCTCTTGGCCGCAGTCTCGCCCGTCCCCAGGACGGCCTTGGCGTCGGCATCGGTATCCTCCTTGGCCCACGTGTATTTCTCAATATTCTTGGGGCTAGTGCTCTGGATCACGCGCTTCACGTAGATGCCGGGTAGGTGGATGGCCTCGGGAGGGATCTCGCCTGGCTCGACAATGTGCTCGGCCTCGACAATGGTGACTTTGGCGTTGCGGCCCATGGCGCCATTGAAATTGTTGGCCGCCAGGCGGAACTGGCAGTTGCCTAGCTTATCGGCCTTGTACGCCTTGACAAAGGCATAATCGCCGGCAATGCTCTCTTCGAGGAGGTAAGGCTTGCCGTTGAAGACCTTGACATCCTTGGGGTAAGAGTAGACGTCCGGTGAGCCGTCGGGCTTATTCTTTAGCGGCAAATCGCCCGTCTGGACAACGGTTCCAAAGGCCGCGGGTGTGTAGAAAGCAGGAATGCCCTTACCACCGGCTGCGCAACGCTCTGCGAGGGTTCCTTGGGGGGTCAGCTCCAGCTCAACCTGGCCGGTGAGGTACATTGTCTCGAACGTTTTGTTTTCGCCAATGTAGCTAGCAATCATCTTCTTGACCTGCTTCGTCTTGAGAAGCTTGCCGAGACCAGAGCTGTCGGTGCCGGCATTGTTTGACACGGCTGTCAGGCCGGTGATGTCGGGCCTCTTGAGAACCTCATCTATGAGAGTATCGGGGACGCCACAAAGGCCGAATCCACCGCACAATAACGTCGAGTTGGCCTTGAGGTCCTTGATGGCCTCGGCGGCGGACGGCAGCACCTTGTTGATCTCAGCTCGGCGGGCAGTGGCAGAAAATGATCTGGACAAGACAGCAGTGGGCTGGAGCGTGAACCATGTCAGCTCTGACTCCATGAGACGCGGTCATTTTTTCTAATCTACTGGTTTCCCAGACTCACGTTTGTCGCATGGCGCGCAAAGGCGCCGAGGGTCCGCAGGCGCAGAGCTGTAGACGGCATTGTGGAGGGGTAGATGCTGGATCTTGGGGTATCAGAAGCTGGCGTAACTCAGTGTCTGCTTTGCTGCGGCGAGAAGCAAAGTTATAAAGAGATGTGAACACCGCAAAGAGTAGCTGTAGAAGAAAATTCTGGAATTAAACGCAGACTGAAGCGCTTTCGGATACCAGTGACGGCATCAGGCGCGTTATGAAGGCCGCCGAGCGTGTGATGCTTTTGCCGGTATAATAGCCGTCAATGGCCGAACCCACTGCCGCAGGCCCAGTCCCCGCATGGCCAGGAGAGCAGATTCGGGCATTTAGAGTGAGGAGAAGCTGGACCCAGGCCAGGATAGCGGGACAGTTCCGTGGCAAGGATCGGATAGGGGCGGCGGGCGGGTGTGGGGGAGCAGCCACACAGATGGAGAATGGGGTTGGTCGCGGAGAACGATTCCGTGTAAGTTGCATATTACCTACTTGTACGAAACAACAATGTCGTCTGGTTGATAGACGTTGAGCGTCTTGACGAAAAGTAACAGCTTTGCTATTCTTCTGATGTCAGTCGGTGCTCCAAACGCAATGACATTCGCAGACAAACAGAGTCAATCCACAGGGAGCCCCCGCTACCGGCTGTAATGCTCAGGCATACGGATGAGACGGTTCTCAAATGGAACAGCGTTCGGAATCTAATGAGCCACTGCGCCGTCTCTCAGCTAGACGCTCCTGGCCCGGCTTCCGAAGCCGAAGTCAGACCCAGGCGTTTGTTAGAGCAGTCGGCACATGCGGAGCGGGAAATGGCTTTTCCCGGAAGCACGTTCCGATTCCCGTTGCTGAGAGTAAAGATTCATCCGGCGGTGCTGACGGGGAGTTTCAAAGCTGAGTATTGGATTTCATCTCCATGTTTGTTCGTGTAGAGTAAATTGGTGCTTGACGCAGGCAGTTGAAGAGGCGTGATGCCCTAAGACGGTGATGTTTGCGGCACGTGCTGTCAAGCCCTGCACCTGCCTGCAGAAGATCTGGATGCACTTTCCATCAGGCACTTGCCATGATCAAGATGACATAAGGTGCCTCAGGCTGCATTTTCCCCCAGATTCTACACACTACACAAACCTCTATCACCATCTCGATTGCCATCCGTCGTGAACAGATGGAGTCCCTGGCCAGCCTTCGGCAATGGGGCCTGATTCCGAAAAGACGGCCCTTAACTCCCCTCGGCCAAATGTGGAGAGTGCCATTTGTTGCCGGCGGGTGTTTTTCACTCGGCTTACATACCGCCCAAGGTCTGATTCAGCAGAGCCACATGGTCTCCCGAGGACGAAAGCACTTCAGTCGCAATTGATTCCAAAGACTGGCTTGTCGCTGCTTGTAATGTCAACTACATACAATTAGGACCATCCCGCTTCTTGCTCCCAATTCTCAGGTGACGCTCCAGCTTTCAAGCGCCTCAAGCTCTTAAGGGGTATGGCACACAACTTCAATGTTATTGCCCGCCGCATCAATCACAAACGCCGCATAATAACTGGCATGATACGCTCGCAGACCCGGCGCTCCATTGTCCGTCCCTCCCGCCAAAAGGGCCGCCGCGTGGAAGGCGTCCACCGCAGCTCGATCTAAGGAACCGTTGTCAACATAGATCTTCATGGCGAGTACCCAGTCATTGAGTCCACTCTGGACCTCTTACCTTTGGCGCGGAGCGCAAGGTGAGTCTTGGTAACACCCTCCTTCACCCCCTTGACCCAGAGGTCAGCGAGCTTATAGTCTTTGATAGGTTCGAGCTGTGAGCCAAGGCCGGCCGTGTACTCGCCAAACTGATAGGCGATCTGGTATCCGAGAGGCTCGAAGGCCTTGACGTACAGGTCCAAGCACTCCTTGAACTTGTCCTCGGGGACTGCGATGACGGTATGGTCAATCATGGTGAGTTGTGTCTGCAATTGACGACGTTGAAGTTGGTTGTAAAAGGAGCCCTTTTTTTTGATCTCTCTGTTGATTGTTCGTTGAAGTAGTTTCTTGACGAATATATATAGCCCCTATCTCTTGCGGGACTCGGCCTTCGCGAATGCCGAGACGGCTGAGCTCGCTCCTTACAACCCGTGATGGTTAATCCTCCGGTCTGCATGACGAGTCCTGAAACGGTATGTACACATTGCCTGACGAAGCCTGTCTACGAACCGGGTTACTTATCACAAGTATCTGCCTGGCCGACTGACAAGCTGCTTCTCTCGCAGCTCGGCTTCAAGGCTTGAAGCCCTGTGAAGCATCTGTTGCATTTCTGCGGCATAATTGAAGTGGACAACAATCGTTCAGACAAAGCACGCAGCTCCTCATAGCTTTGGCCGTCTCGTGAATTCATGCCGCAGGTTCTTGCATTCACACATGGAGATTATGAAGCGGGCTTTCACCAAGCTCGTATCTTTAGCTCCATCGTGAATGTTGTCACATTTGACAAGGTAGTTTCAGTGGCATAGTAGCGGACGCCTATAATGCATAGCCTCACCGTATGACTCAATGTGGCTCGATGTAATAGGCAGGATCGTGTCCATGTTAACCCCTGGGTATGAGGCGAAGCAATAGGAGATTTAGGCGAGCTTCGCTGGCTTGCATAGAGCACGCTTTGCAACTTCATCCGTCTCCACTTAGTTGAGAGGCAGCCAACTTTACTGAATGCTCTTATGACCGGAGAAAACACCTCAAACCAAATACAAGAAGCTATAATAGGATGGCGACCGGGAGTATAGGCGTTTATTAATGTTTGCAGCCAAGCAATCCGGTGATATGCAACTCAAGCAATGCTGGCGCTTATAAAGTTACTCGAAGGCCACGTTGGTTCCCGAGGATGTTCCCCATAAGCCATCAATATAAGTCGAGACTCTCCTCTTCAATGGCAATTTCATACTTGCTACCACGACGAGTATTGTCTTCTCATTCGTAAATGTGCTCATCTGTTTCATCTCAGTTCCTTGAATACAGGCAGTTTCCAACCCGAACAGGTTCTAATCGCATCCTTCAGTGGTTCGGATTCGCAGAAGTGGGCGAACTAATATGGGTGCCTTAGCCAAGAAATTTATAAAGCTTGAGTAAACTTTGACGAATGGAAATTTACAAAAATTGTGTTGAGAAAGAGAGAAGAATAGAAGTCCTAACTAGACTACACACTTAAGCTTATATCAATCTCTGTAGAGCTGCACAAGGTGCTATTACTTGTTGAAAACTGTAGAGAACGTCAAAGTAAAGCGCCCATTTTAGCACCTGGCCGACTACCTTAGTACATAGGTACGTCCCGATGGCCACGCTAGACCTCTTACGAAAATACCAGCTCTTATCGGCCAGCTTATCGCCCCGCGACTAT